TTGACTAGGGTCGCCCCTAGTCCAAAATTGAAAATGTATTTCCTACTTGGTTCTTTGCTCAAAAAAATTTTAGGATGTTTTATTTGTATTTTTTTTAAGCACTAGAATATTTATGCAAAGTTTCAATCCATTTGTATAAACCCTCGAAGAAAAAAGTGAGAAAATTGATTTTGACTAGGGTCGCCCCTAGTCCAAAATTGAAAATGAATTTCCTACTTGGTTCTTTGCTCAAAAAAATTTTAGGATGTTTTATTTGTATTTTTTTTAAGCACTAGAATATTTATGCAAAGTTTCAATCCATTTGTATAAACCCTCGAAGAAAAAAGTGAGAAAATTGATTTTGAGTAGGGTCGCCCCTAGTCCAAAATTGAAAATGTATTTCCTACTTGGTTCTTTGCTCAAAAAAATTTTAAGATGTTTTATTTGTATTTGTTTTAAGCGCTAGAATATTTTTGCAAAGTTTCAATCCATTTGGATAAACCCTCGAAAAAAAAGTGACAAAATTGATTTTGACTAGGGTCGCCCCTAGTCCAAAATTGAAAATGTATTTCCTACTTGGTTCTTTGCTCAAAAAAATTTTAAGATGTTTTATTTGTATTTGTTTTTAGCACTTAAATATTTATGCAGAGTTTCAATCCATTTGGATAAACCCTCGAAGAAAAAAGCGAAGAAGACTAGGGTCGCCCCTAGTCCAAAATTGAAAATGTATTTCCTTCTTGGTTCTTTGCTCAAAAAAATTTTAGCATGTTTTATTTGTATTTGTTTTAAGCACTTGAATATTTATGCAAAGTTTCAATCCATTTGGATAAACCCTCGAAGAAAAAAGTGACAAAATTGATTTTGACTAGGGTCGCCCCTAGTCCAAAATTGAAAATGTATTTCCTACTTGGTTCTTTGCTCATAAAAATTTTAAGATGTTTTATTTGTATTTGTTTTAAGCACTAGAATATTTATGCAAAATTTCAATCCATTTGTATAAACCCTCTAAGAAAAAAGTGACAAAATTGATTTTTACTAGGGTCGCCCCTAGTCCAAAATGTATTTCCTTCTTGGTTCTTTGCTCAAAAAAATTTTAGGATGTTTTATTTGTATTTGTTTTAAGCACTAGAACATTTATGCAAAGTTTCAATCCATTTGTATAAACCCTCGAAGAAAAAAGTGAGAAAATTGATTTTGACTAGGGTCGCCCCTAGTCCAAAATTGAAAATGTTTTTCCTACTTGGTTTTTTGCTCAAAAAAAATTTAGGATGTTTTAATTGTATTTGTTTTAAGCACTAAAATATTTATGCAAAGTTTCAATTCATTTGGATAAACCCTCGAAGAAAAAAGTGAGAAAATTGATTTTGACTAGGGTCGCCCCTAGTCCAAAATTGAAAATGTATTTCCTACTTGGTTCTTTGCTCAAAAAAATTTTAGGATGTTTTATTTGTATTTTTTTCAAGCACTAGAATATTTATGCAAAGTTTCAATCCATTTGTATAAACCCTCGAAGAAAAAAGTGACAAAATTGATTTTGACTAGGGTCGCCCCTAGTCCAAAATTGAAAATGTATTTTCTACTATGTTCTTTGCTCATAAAAATTTTAAGATGTTTTATTTGTATTTGTTTTAAGCACTAGAATATTTATGCAAAATTTCAATCCATTTAGATAAACCCTCGAAGAAAAAAGTGACAAAATTGATTTTGACTAGGGTCGCCCCTAGTCCAAAATTGAAAATGTATTTTCTGCTTGGTTCTTTGCTCAAAAAAATTTTAGGATGATTTATTTGTATTTGTTTTAAGCACTAGAATATTTATGCAAAGTTTCAATCCATTTGGATTAACCCTCGAAGAAAAAAGTGAGAAAATTGATTTTGAGTAGGGTCGCCCCTTGTCCAAAATTAAAAATGTATTTCCTACTTGGTTCTTTGCTCAAAAAAATTTTAAGATGTTTTATTTGTATTTGTTTTAAGCACTTGAATATTTATGCAAAGTTTCAATCATTTGGATTAACCCTCGAAGAAAAAAGTGACAAAATTGATTTTGACTAGGGTCGCCCCTAGTCCAAAATTGAAAATGTATTTCCTACTTGGTTCTTTGCTCAAAACAATTTTAGAATGTTTTATTTGTATTTGTTTTAAGCACTTAAATATTTATGCAAAGTTTCAATCCATTTGGATAAACCCTCGAAGAAAAAAGTGAGAAAATTGATTTTGACTAGGGTCGCCCCTAGTCCAAAATTGAAAATGTATTTCCTATTTGGTTCTTTGATCAAAAAAATTTTAGGATGTTTTATTTGTATTTGGATAAACCCTCGAAGAAAAAAGTGAGAAAATTGATTTTGACTAGGGTCGCCCCTAGTCCAAAATTGAAAATGTATTTCTTTCTTGGTTCTTTGCTCAAAAAAATTTTAAGATGTTTTATTTGTATTTGTTTTAAGCACTGAAATATTTATGCAAAGTTTCAATCCATTTGGATTAACCCTCGACAAAAAGTGAGAAAATTGATTTTGACTAGGGTCGCCCCTAGTCCAAAATTGAACATGTATTTCCTACTTGGTTCTTTGCTCAAAAAAATTTTAGCATGTTTTATTTGTATTTGTTTTAAGCACTAAAATATTTATGCAAAGTTTCAATCCATTTTGATAAACCCTCGAAGAAAAAAGTGAGAAAATTGATTTTTACTAGGGTCGCCTCTAGTCCAAAATTGAAAATGTTTTTCCTACTTGGTTCTTTGCTCAAAAAAATTTTAGGATGTTTTATTTGTATTTGTTTTAAGCACTCAAATATTTATGCAAAGTTTTAATTCATTTGGATAAACCCTCGAAGAAAAAAGTGAGAAAATTGATTTTGACTAGGGTCGCCCCTAGTCCAAAATTGAAAATGAATTTCCTACTTGGTTCTTTGCTCAAAAAAATTTTAGCATGTTTTATTTGTATTTGTTTTAAGCACTTAAATATTTATGCAAAGTTTCAATCCATTTTGATAAACTCTCGAAGAAAAAAGTGAGAAAATTGATTTTTACTAGGGTCGCCCCTAGTCCAAAATTGAAAATGTATTTCTTTCTTGGTTCTTTGCTCAAAAAAATTTTAAGATGTTTTATTTGTATTTGTTTTAAGCACTGAAATATTTATGCAAAGTTTCAATCCATTTGGATTAACCCTCGACAAAAAGTGAGAAAATTGATTTTGACTAGGGTCGCCCCTAGTCCAAAATTGAAAATGTATTTCCTACTTGGTTCTTTGCTCAAAAAAATTTTAGCATGTTTTATTTGTATTTGTTTTAAGCACTAAAATATTTATGCAAAGTTTCAATCCATTTTGATAAACCCTCGAAGAAAAAAGTGAGAAAATTGATTTTTACTAGGGTCGCCCCTAGTCCAAAATTGAAAATGTTTTTCCTACTTGGTTCTTTGCTCAAAAAAATTTTAGGATGTTTTATTTGTATTTGTTTTAAGCACTAGAATATTTATGCAAAGTTTCAATCCATTTGTATAAACCCTTGAAGAAAAAAGTGACAAAATTGATTTTGACTAGGGTCGCCCCTAGTCCAAAATTGAAAATGTATTTCCTACTTGGTTCTTCGCTCAAAAAAATTTTAGAATGTTTTATTTGTATTTGTTTTAAGCACTAGAATATTTATGCAAAGTTTCAATCTATTTGTATAAACCCCCGAAGAAAAAAGTGAGAAAATTGATTTTGACTAGGGTCGCACCTAGTCCAAAATTGAAAATGTATTTCCTGCTTGGTTCTTTGATCAAAAAAATTTTAGGATGTTTTATTTGTATTTGTTTTAAGCACTAGAATATTTATGCAAAGTTTCAATCCATTTGGATAAACCCTCGAAGAAAAAAGTGACAAAATTGATTTTGACTAGGGTCACCCGTAGTCCAAAATTGAAAATGTATTTCCTACTTGGTTCTTTGCTCAAAACAATTTTAGAATGTTTTATTTGTATTTGTTTTAAGCATTAAAATATTTATGCAAAGTTTCAATCCATTTGTATAAACCCTCGAAGAAAAAAGTGAGAAAATTGATTTGAGGGTCGCCCTTAGTCCAAAATTGAAAATGTATTTCCTACTTGGTTCTTTGCTCAAAAAAATTTTAGGATGTTTTATTTGTATTCGTTTTAAGCACTAGAATATTTGTGCAAAGTTTTAATCCATTTGTATAAACCCTCGAAGAAAAAAGTGACAAAATTGATTTTGACTAGGGTCGCCCCTAGTCCAAAATTGAAAATGTATTTCCTACTTGGTTCTTTGCTCAAAAAAATTTTAGGATGTTTTATTTGTATTTGGATAAACCCTCGAAGAAAAAAGTGACAAAATTGATTTTGACTAGGGTCGCCCCTAGTCCAAAATTGAAAATGTATTTCTTTCTTGGTTCTTTGCTCCAAAAAATTTTAAGATGTTTTATTTGTATTTGTTTTAAGCACTAGAATATTTATGCAAAGTTTCAATCCATTTGGATAAACCCTCGACAAAAAGTGAGAAAATTTGAAAATTTAATTTGAAAAATTCGTAAGAAAGGAACAATACAGCTCTTCTATAGAGTAGCACGGAACAAATGTAAAAAACTAGAAGTCTCTACAATGTCTCGTTATGGAGATTTCTTGCTGATTAACTTACTTGTTTGCTTGTTTGCTTGCTTACAGAAAGCATATTTTTCGATTTTCTCAGCAACGCCGCAACCAATTTGAAATCTGTTTTTTGCATAAGATGTAAAATTTCAGGCACAAACTTTTCTTCTTTATACATTTATAGCTAAAATGCTTCGTTAACTCACAAAATTCAAAAAACTGATTTTTCAATCTGAACAAAAACAAAACATTCACACGTGAAAACGGTGTGAATATAAAAATACCATTGTAATTAAGTTTTATTTTGTTGTTTGCATTGAAAAACATGAATTATGGCTGGATAAAGGGATTTACATAAAAATCAAAGCATTTAAAATAAAAAAAAAATGTGTTTATGTATCACCCTGGGTATCACAAAACTTTACAAAAAGAAAAAAAAATGTCAAAATTTTTTGTTTAAAGTCGTTAAAATCTACTTCCTAAATTACATATAAAATATCTGTTTCTATACGCTTTTTATTGATTAAAACTTGTCAGACTCTCTTTCGATGCTGGCTTCTTCTTTTATTGATTTAATTTGGCTATTCTCATACTCCATTTTTATGTTCTCTTTCCTTAAGAGACCCTCTTTTGATTGGCGAATACCGTATGTGAAGTAGATGAAGTATCCTATTAAATTTTAATATTTAGCAGAATAATTAAAATTTTAAATTTATTAAACTATTTTTCAATTACCAATAATAAGCCAAACTGCAAATCGTATCCACGTTGCTGCATCAAGTTGGAACATCAAATAGAGATTGATAAAAATACTAAGACAAGGTAAAATAGGAACAAATGGCACGGTAAACGAGAGTTCCGTTACATTATCCTTTGGTTGTCTTCCAATAAAAAAAATTGTCAAAATCATCGCAGCACCGATAGTAGACATACAAATAATATTGATGGTTGTAAATTTAAATTCAAGCAGACCACACAATACCAAGCTTAGAACACAAAAGACAGCCACAGCAATTTTGACAATATTTGACGTCATTCTTGTTGGTTCTTGTATAAATTTAATATTGGCAATTTGATTCATAGCAGCATTCAATGTGAATTTATTCTGATTCGCCGTATACTTTTCGTCTGGTGCTTCATAATGAAGAATAATAATACAAATGGCAACAATGGTGTATGCCAATAAAGTTCCAATACTCATCATGTCAATTAATTGATGGAGATTAAAGATTAATGCCATCAATCCAGCCAAAAATCCACTTATTAGTGTGGCAATCAAAGGCGTTTTAGTTTTAGGATGGACTCGTTTCATAACTTTATAAATAATTCCATCATTTCCCATTGCGTACAGCACTCGTGGAAGTGGAAAAAGTGCACCTAATAAACTGGTAGTGAGGGCGAAAATAGCACCAATAGAGACAATCCATTTAATTACAGTCCATCCAATTTGATCAAAAGCATGTGGAAATGGTGCGTCTGGATTTTGAAGGTAGTAAGGCAACATCATGGTTAATACTGTTGAAATTCCAAAATATGCCAAGAAAATTATGATGAGTGAGATGACAATAGCTAAAGGAATATTTCTCTTTGGATTTTTGGCTTCCTCTCCTGTTGTGGCAACACAATCGAATCCAACAAAGCCATAAAAGCATTTTGCAGCACCAGCCATGATACCTGAGAATGTTAATTATTCATTAATTCTTAAAATATTATTTTCAATTTTAAAACTTACCTGCAATTCCAAATGGCATAAATCCACCCTCTCCAGCATGCTTAATATCTTCAGGAATGTCTTCTTTTGCAATAGCCCAATTCTTTGGATTAGCATTCATGCTTCCAGCCACCAAAACGATGCAGACAGTCGTTAAATTGACAGCAGTAAAGACATTATTCAGGAATGTCGATTCTTTCACACCGATTGCAAGCAAAACGGATAGAATCATTACAATTACGAATGAGAAGAAGTCTGGATATTCAGCTAAAAAAGAAACATCAATTGGCATTAAGTCTCGCCAGAAATTTCCCATTTTATTGTCTATCAAAGCATCAATATAGCCACTAAGACCTCGTGCCACCGATGAAGTTCCAATAACATACTCCAATATCAGATTCCAACCAATCGTAAATGCGACAAATTCTCCAACACTAACATAAGAATAGACATAAGCGGATCCAGCTTTTGGAACTCGAGCAGCAAATTCAGCATAACAAAAACCTGTTTAATGATGAAAGTTTTTTTAAAGTCAAATAAATATAGACATACAACTTACCAGCAAACGCCGAGGCAACAGCAGCAATTAAGAATGAAATTGTTACTGCAGGTCCAGCTTGATCATATGCTACACTTCCTGCTAGTACATAAACGCCCAAACCGAGCGTCGAGCCAACACCTAATGCAGTTAAATCAAATAAATTCAATACCCTCGCTAATTTTGATTCCTCGTGCGAGTCATTTCGCTTTTTACGTGACAATGCTTCCCAAAGGTTCCCTAACATAATGTCTATTCAAGTCTTATGGACTTCAGTCTGATTCTAAAATGAGAATGAGAAGTAATTAATCAATAAATTTTTTCGAGTAATGGTAAGTTCATTTCTTGTATGTAATATGAAATCACTGTAACGTGACGGTTCGAAATGAAATTAAAATAAAATTATAAAAAGTCAATAAAAACAAATATTAATATAGCGTAAGAATATAGATGGAAAACTTAAGTTCCGCATTTTCAGCAGCAAAACAACATATAAATGAGCCAAACAGATGATTAAAAAATCATAACATGGCTTGTTTGAAATAAACAAAAAGCTTAATAATTAGGTGAGTTCAAGGCAATAAATCAACTTGCTTTGATGTTTAAACATGTGTGTGTACAAGTCATATTTTTTGTTTGCTAGTAGTTAAACTGCAATTCATATTATGAACTAGTGTATCGGGTGGGTAGAAACCCAATGCGAATATATTCACACCGTACCATCAAAAGCCTTATGGATAGACCAAGATTTGTTCAGCATAAGTTTGAAGGTGTAAAGCTTGACGAGTCAGCTGAGCTTCGCACAGCATACGTTTGAAGCAGGGGCGTAGCCAGGGGGGGGCCATAGGGGGCCCGGGCCCCCCCTACGAAAATCTGATAATTGTTTTATTAAGTATTTATAGAGAAGAACCAGTTAATGTAGAGGAAGTGATGAAAATAATGTCAAAATCAGCACGAAAAATTAAATTTAATGTATGAATAATGAATTAAATATTTAAACTTATGAAGAATGAATATAGATTTAAGGAAACAAAATAACGGGTTTTAAATTTTCAAAAATGGGCCCCCCCTTCAAAAAATTTCTGGCTACGCCCCTGGTTTGAAGGAATAAAACTTGACGAGTCAAATATTTATTTTTATTTTATTGCTTGCTTAAAAAATAAATCAGAAGGTTCAAATATTGCGATTTAAAATTAATTAAATCATTCCCTAAAATCTGTGTTTTAAGCTATATAGCAAGATTGAGTAATAAATCTTAAAAGTATTTAGTTTCAGTATCTACAATAGCATTACACAATTTGTTCTTCCGTCATTTTTGACTAAATAATACCACTTTAAGTACCCACAAAATATTAATTCAATTGCCATTTTTCAAACTATGACGAATAAATCAAAACAACGTTACTTCAATATTAACAGCACAACTGATGAGTGCAAGACTAAAACATATAATATACGATAATATACTTAAAATATTAATCGAATTCGGAGCAGAACTGCTTTTAAAAAAAATAATAATTTTTGATCATGTTTTTTGCATTTACTCAAAAAAGTAAGCATTACTATACCACAAAATCCTTCTTTGTGTAAAAAATGGAATTATGCATCGAATGGTATATATTTTTTATCAGTCAGTTCAAACATGTAGGCACAGGAACCAAAAACACGTGTCTAAAACAATAAAAAAATGTTTGTGACCAAGCTGTAAGCTGTAGGAAGCATTTATTTTGATAGGGTTTTTGGGTCCATTCTTCAGATAAGCAATGAACTGTTCTCTAAATTGGTGTTGACCTTGGTTTTCAACAACAAAATAATAAAATCCAATGAAGAGGAATGAAGAAGGGTCCAAAGAGGTCATCTTCCCCACTCAAAAATGTTTTTATTTTTAGAATGAAATTTACTTTTTATTCAGTTTTGCTTTTAAAAAACGTAAAGAAAGGAAGAAGCATTCATCGTAAGTTGTACTTTAATTGAAATTATCACAAAAACACCAATGTAAAGTTTGTACTTGTCTCTTTATCGTCAAATCACATATGTAGGTAAAGTAAAACGACTTATCTTTTTGATTACTTAAAATTATAAACTTATAACTATAATTGACATAAATTACCGTTAATTATTATCAAATAAAGGACTTGATGTTGCTAACAATGTTAAAACGATTTCTAAACAATACGTTATTTTTATTATCTCTAATGATATATTTTTTACTTTGCATTTTCTTTTAGACTTCTTTTTTGAAGCAGATAGATTAAATTTTTATCTCGAACGCTATGTCGTTCAATTACAGCATTTATTGAACTAATTAAGTCTGTTGCTTAGTAAATTAAAAATCCTAGCTATTGTCAAATTTTTTGAGGTTTTAAAAAATTCAAAATTTTAAAGCTTTAATGCCAAGATTTTTTAAATTCCAAACATTCATTAATTAGGGATAAAAATATTGTCGTCAATAACTAGTTTCAATCAGCTTTCAATATACAATGAGGCATTATTATTTGACATTTTTAATTACACACTCGAGTTTGTAAAAATTGTACGTTGTGACTTTATTATTATCTTATCAGCTAATAAAGATTCCACCAAAAATAGCACAATTTAAGTGCCTCTCAACTTCCTAAGATCATCTCAAACGATTCATTTAACAATTGACAAATTAATTTCATTACCGCTATTGATAACAGACTTTAAACTAATAGAAAACTAACATCTGTCACTTGCATACTTTAAACATCAATGTTCATTCAACTTGTCTTTACCACTCTTTTAACATCATTTATGGTTTAATGAAATAGAAAAGAAAAGAAGAATCGAAGTAAATGCAAATATCATATGGTTTAATAACTAGGTCTAGGCTAACAAGGCTGTTGCTAATGCTGAAGTAGCTTTCGTACCTTAGACGTACGTAAAGGCTTTTAGTCGTTGTCTAAAAGAAGTACACTCATAAAAAAAAATTAATAAATTTTATTAAAAATGTATGAAAAAGTTTAATAAAAGTTTATAAAAATACATCTTGATAACTTTTACTAAAATTTGATAAGGGTTATTAAAAGTTTTGGTTTTACAAAATTGCATTCAAATTTTACAAAACCGTTAAAAAATTTTAATAATTTTCTTACTAAACTTTAGTAAAAAGTTATTAAGATGAATTTTTTATAATTTATATTAAATTTGTTCATGGATTTTAGTAAAAAGTCATTAAAATTTCTTGGATTATTTTTTTTACAAAAACAGTTTTATAGTATAATTAATTTATAGTATGGAGCTTTTTCAAGTCTTAAGTAAAACGCTTTCTCAAAGCTTAAGACTTTGCATGATTTTTGGCACTTAATGTGCCTCATAAGAAATTAATAATTTTATATGACTTTGTATGAGAACTAAGACATTCTTTTGTATAAGTCATTTCTGGAAGCGTTTGTGAAGTATATAAAATGTATGAAAACCTTACAATTTTGGAAACCTACAACAGTTTTACAACGCTGTAGGATTTTAAAAACTTTTATTAAAATTTGATAAGTTTTACTAAAAGTTTGATAAGGTTTACTAAAATTTTAATAATTCTCATTAAAAAAATTTTAATAAGATTTTAACAACAAATTACTAAAAATATTTTTATGAGTGTACTAATGTTATTAAAATTTTAAGTGGGAAATGTCAATTAAATACAAAAGAAATTTTATAAAAGTGGCTTGCATTTCCGATCATTACTATTCCAACTCAGTAATGACTGCTTGTACATTGGGATTTTCAGGGGATTTTTTGCAAGGAACTTGTTTTTCATGAAGTATAATTTTTTGCACTTTAGGAAAATCCCAGTTTTGGCATAATATAACTGTTCATGTTGATGTCACGTGAACATTCCCGCTCGAAGAACGTGACCATGCTTTACTTCCTCATAAACTCTTGATTTTATAGCAAAAATGACTATTGAAGTTAACATTTATTTCCCCAAATAAAACGTAATATTTATGGGTATTTAATCTGACTTGCTTATCATCCATGAACCGTCAAGTACTTTGGTTATTTACCTGAGAATACCAACACATGATTGGAATTATATGTAGTTTGACTTTTAAAATCTATTTAGGAAATTTTTGGTACATAAATGCGAATTTCAAACAAAGAAAAAATATTTCATACAAATTATGTAGCAAGGGGTTAGGGGGTCTAAAAAGTAATTTTTTTGCCTATCGTAATAGATGAACGAGCCCTTACATTACTTGAAATCCAGAATCCTTAAGAATAGAATCCGGATTCACTCATTATCGTACATTTCAGATATAACGTGAATGTCAAAAACTAGTTTGTTTGATCAATTTCAAGTCCATTTTAAATGCACCAAAATTAATGCATCACATTAAGTTTCAAGTTAATTCTTTTTTTGTCTGTTTAAAATAACGATCCAGAACAAGTTTATTAAATCACATAATTGATGTACCAGTTTGTCTTATAACCAGATTAGCATTAGAAAATTTACTTTGGATCACAATTAATTATCTTGTTAACTTACTTGAATTTAATGAATATTTTAAAATCAATTTATTAACGAGTTTTTTAAAAAATTTCATGTGTCTTGATTTCAAAACGGTGATGTTGATGATTAATTATCTGAATAATTCATCAATAAAATTATTGCTATTGAAAAAATTACAATACATCAAAAGATTTAAACGCATGATGACGATTATTTTGCTAATGAACAGTCCAGAGGTTATTGCAATTAATGAACGGATTTAGTAGTAAAAAAGTGACAATGACTCTTTGACAGTTGAATGAACACATAGAAGAATCCCGATCCTTAATCATTTTGCATTCCAAATAGCACAGATTAATAAACAAATTGATTGCAGTCAGTAACTTGATTGTCAACATAATTAAACAACAATATTCACGGCAGCAGCACTAAATTTGAAATTTTATTGCATGCCTGAATATAAAAGTTTTATGACTTAAGCTGAGTGTTTCCCCAGTTTGTTTAAATACAGACTTTTTAAGAACACTCGACTTCAATTTATAATAAAGTTTCACACACTTTATAAACTCAGAATAATTAATTTTGAATTTTCCTGGGAGAAACTTATCTAAAATTTATTTTCCCTGATGAGTGTAAATGCTGGTGTATGATTAATGGACGCAAATTTTTTGGTGCCATTCCATGCTGCATACATACGAATGCAATCGTATGTATACGAAATATTTATTTTAAATTTATTCTATACGTTTAAATCAGCTGATGACAAATGTAAAAAAATGTAGCGCGAGTCGATTCCCATAAATATTTTCCCCATCAATTAGATCCATTTATTGTGAAAATAAAAATGTTATAAGAAATGCTTTTAGTGGATGGCAATAAACAAAATCATGATTAGCACATAAATTCAGAATGAAAATGACGTCAAATTCCTGGAAAGATTAATCGCACTTACAGGTCCAATTATCTTGATATGTCTCAATTGTTCTTGCTGTGTCTTATCTGTACAATCGTGTTTCTACGGAGTTTATAACACTTTTATTGGATTTCGAAACCACTCAAAATACCCTCAAATACAAATAGTCTCTATCGAAATATCATCAAGACTATAGAAAAATTATTTTGTAACTTCCAAAAAAACTGTTCACTAGCAAAAAATTAATTACTTTGCAATAAATCTACAAATACACTTTTTGTAACCGACTGAACGTATTTGATGGCAAAACTTGACTGAGCTCAAGCATCATTCAGTCATTTCGATATATTTGACGGAATAAAAAAATTGAGAGCTTCGTGAGTAAATTGGAAACTTTCTCACATTTAGATAAATGCCTCGTAAAAGCTTTAATAGAGACAAAACTTTGAGTTTTAGAGTTTTATAGAGCTTTTATTGTTTATTGAGCACATAGAAAATTGTTTTATAAAATTACATTCTTGAAAATTCGATTATTATCGTAATGATTCATTTGTGGGCGCTGTGGAACTGATGAGCAGCCAATACATGTATGGAGAGTATCGTGGATAAACATATCACAATCGTTGCAATAATGCTTCTCACATTTTGGACATTTGTAGAGGTGCTTGTCAGATTCTTGGAACTGCTTTTGGCAGGCAAAGCAATGCGTTGATTGATGCTGGTTTGGAACTTCTATGAAATTAAGAATTGGAAATAAATGATGATAAGAACGAGCCAGATGTGGGGCTAGAACTAATGTTAATCCACAGACAACACATTCTACCGGCAATTCACAGTATTTTGCTTGACATTGAGGACAGAAATAGCCGATAATTGATAAATTTCTTTTATCGCTGTTGCTTTCTAGATGACACATGCAGAGAGACATCATTGATTGGTCTTTTTTTGATGATGCATCCTGTACAACGCCATGGGGAAATCCCATTTTGATTAATGAGCATTCCTGGCTGTTTGTTGCTTGCAGCGGTTCAATGTGCTGAAATAACTGATCTTTAAAATGTGTCTCGTCTAGAATTGCACTGTAAATTCCACTTGTCTCTAAAGTCAAATGTCGCATTATTCTAGTCTCTGCGGATAAGCTTATGACTGAACATCGTACATTTTCTTGTTTTAAGCTTTGTATTGTTTCTTCGATATCACCTGGATCACAAGTCGTTAAACTTCCCAGAACCATTAATACTTCTCTACTGGCATGTGCTGGAATCATTTTCAGTGTCTGAAGTGCTAAATCCAGTCCGTTTTGAATTGATGGCTCGCCAGTCAATGAAGCTTTTGTTAAACTATGAGTCAAATTACATAAATTAATATAAAAAATCTAGTTAAAATTGAATTAAAGAAAAAAAAAAAACAGAAATCCTTACTTCTGGAAGATTTTAATATGATTCTTGTAATTTCCTGCTAGATCTGCAACCTTTTCAGCTCGCTTATTCTTAAGGAGAATGATTCCAAGCTGCGAAATTGGATTCTGATCAAAGAATTCCTCAACAAACAGCTGTAACATTCGAACAGCATTTATAAATCTTGTCGGCTTTAAATCAGGCATTGACATAGCATCAGAACAGTCAAGAATAATATAGATATGTCTCATCATTCCCAATCTTGAGCCTTTTTTTTTGGCTTCTTGTCTCTTTCGCTTCGCTTTTTGAATTATATCATGAATTGAGCTTGCAATTAAGCCTGCATCGTCTTCCTGTATCTCCTCCCATGTCTTCTCGTATCCAGTTTCCCATCTATATTCTTTGATTTCATCATCTTCTGCCATTTCTACGTAAACTTAATTATTTTTCCTACCGAGTAAATTTTTCAACCTTGTTTTGTTGACTTTGGGAAGTAATGTTTTATGTTTTGGTTTAGTGACCTAAAGCGCATTTTAGGCTTAATTACATTTTGAACTCTGGATCAATGAAATTGAGTTTGAAACTTTAAAATGTGTAGAATGAACTGAATAAAGTGTAACTATAAACAAATTAATTTAAAATTATATGCTGACGATGGAGAATATAACGGAAAAGGCCTTGACATGACAGCCATAATTTAATGGTAATCTGAACTCATAAAAAAAATACCGGATCATAAAAATTCAAAATTTTTCGCAAAATAAATACAGCAAGAAAGTATCGTTTTTGTTTTAATTAATTTATTGCCTAATCTAGCTGTTTAAATTGTCCAGAAACATCACAGTTAAGAGTTCAACATTTAATTTATAAGAAATATCTAATTGCTGGATTAATTATCGTGTCAAAAAATCAAATTAAAAGATAATTTATAAATATTGAAATTAGGCGCGAAAACTATGGCAAATTTAGAGAACTTTGTTACTGAAGCTGTACATGCTGTAAAGTTTAAAATGAGTAAGTAGACTATTCTGCAAATTCGAGATAATAAAAGTATAAACCAAGAGATCCAGTGAACAAAATGATGTTATTTTTCAGTTCGCGAACGTCAGGATGTTGACAATGCTGATGGATGTTTCAGCCCAGAAATGGCACATCAGATTTATGGCGACAATGAGAGCATATTTGGATATAAAGATCTAAACATCAATGTCTATTGCTCTGCAGGTTCATTAGATATTTATTATGATGTAAGTTACAGCAAAAAGGTCGATGATTTGACTAATAATCAAGGCCTAAAAGCCGACAATGTTCATGTTATAACTGAAGTATTCCCGAATGGATATTATACTAATTTAGAAGAGTTTCTTAATACAATGGAAAAAAAGTCCAAGACTTTTGAGCCGTTTGGTGAAAGATTATGTGAATACAAGAATTTTGAAATATACATGTGTGAGTCATCAACACCAAACTTCCAACAATATCATGCACGATTAGAATCCTTCATTTTCTGGTTTATTGATGCTAGCAGTCGAATTGATCACGATGAAAAATGGCGATTCTTTGTTGCTTACGAAAAATATCAAGATTCTCATGGCGAAACTCGTTATGCATCTGTTGGATATGCCTCTGTTTACCTTTATTTCTCATATCCTGATAAGATTCGTCCTCGTATTGCACAATTCTTAATCTTGCCGCCATTCCAGAGAAAAGGTGTTGGAAACAAATTATTTCAGACAATTTGTCAGCACTTCCGTTCCCAATCAAATGTCACGGACATAACGGTTGAAGATGCATCGGAAGATTTTCAAAGATTGCGCAATATTCATGATGCAAGATTACTTAAAAATCTCCCATCTTATTCCTCTGTAAATTTGATGAAAGGATTCAGCACAAAAATGGCACAAGAAGCAAAAGATAATTTTAAGATTAATCCAAAGCAATCGAGAATTATTTACGAGATTCTTCGCCTAGGGATTACAAATACAGCAAACAGAGTTGATTACAAGAACTATCGTCTAGAAGTTAAGAAACGCTTAAATATGAATTATTTAAAGGAAAAGAGGGATATGAAGCGGGTCATGGATCGTGGATTTAAAATTAGTGCTGATAAAAAGCTTTCATTACCATCGACTGAAGAAAATATTGAACAATTAGATGGAATGTATAAGGAAACCGAAGAGTACTATCAAGGCGTCTTAGAACGCATTTAAGGAAAATATTTAAGTCATGTCCATTAATTTTTCTCATTTTTTACTATTTTTTATCCCTTAAAATTCACTAAAAAGTCTAAAGTTAATAAAGAAAAGTTTTTTGATAAAAATAGCCTAATGATGATCAATTTTATTAAACTTGATTTCTAAAAGGGTAGTAATTTGAATGTAGGCAAGACTGATAATAATAACCTGAAATTACAAGTTATAATCATTTTGATGTGCGTGATTTAATTAGAGCAAAAATAAAAGATTAATAAGTCGGAAAAGGAACTGCTCTCATGACAATGTTGATTTATTCATGATCAATCAAGATTTTTCCCACTTAATCATAACAAACAGCCAATAAACTTTAAGACATTGACTAATTATCGCCATTTGATTGAACTTTTCATTTTATTCTATTCACTTCCTCATCAGAATCCGCATTAAGTCAGTGTAAGTAATTTAATTTGAGAACAAAGGATTGCTCTTTGAAATCTAATAAAATTGTTTGCGCTTCTAGTGTCCACTAAGATATGCTAATGTGCTCCATAGTAAGAATGACAAAACAATGAATAATTTATCAAGTGTGAATTGAATCGGAATATCTCCAATTATGCAACTTTTAGCCTACTCTTAAGCACTTTGTATACGCTTTTTAATATTTACAAAGAATCAGAAAAGCGGGACTTTTTTTTTGTGAATGAAGTTTAATGCAGATCGCAGTATAAATAAATATCGACTGTAGTAAATGCAGGTCAGTAAATTTGAACATATTCTTATGATCGTAGAAACGAATATGTGAATGGAACTTGCATTTCCATAGTAAATCTTTTATATGTGTTAATGTATATCAGCAGTCATCATTTGAAATTGATATCTAGTGCGGCATTTCCAGTCAATTAATTTAATCTAATCCAGATTAGATTTAATCCTAAGTTATATCGATATTTAGTGGCTAAGTACCTCCAATCTGGGTAATAATATCTTATTATAATATGCATGTGAAAAGCTTGGAAAATGAACCGTTTTCAATTTTCTTTTTCTTGAAAAAATTTATGCAAGGATCTAGTTTATATATATCTAAACCTCATTTACCTCTTTTCAACTTATTTTTGAAAACTTTTTTAAACGACAAAACATCACATACTTTAGGTTGATCTGACGTGGATAAGATCTTTGTCTACCTTGTGCTGCTCTTTTTGCAGGCGATACAGCATTGTATTATTTTGCAGAAAAATCTACCGATATTGTGACACATCTAAAGCACACAGGAATAAAAATGCAACAATACATGCATGAACAAATGGAAGATCACCTTCAACAAACAGAAGACTCAAACCTTATTCATCACAAAAAAGAACTCCAGGCAACTTCGAAGCAACAACATTAAATCCCTCAACGAAAACATCAAATAGGACACAGAAGCTATATATCTGGGAATGGTGATGCAAGAAAGTGACATTAAAGCCTCATGTGAAGCATGTACATATAAAAGGATCATCGATCTTCATACAGAAGCGAAAATAACGTCCATTGAGGACTACGTCGGAAAGTTGCAAGTAATTAATCCTATTTGAGGAATAATATGAACCAGCCAGTTTATAGTCACGTAACTCTACTTAATCTCGTCTCCCAAATTATTTCAATGTCATTCTGTAAACAAAACATTCTCGTAGCTATTTACATTTGTGTATTGTTTTTCGGCATAAAATGTAAACAAAAATAAGAACGCTGCATGACAGGTTGAAGGACATTTTCACATACGAGATTAACTATTCTCTCAAATTTGTTAATTTTATATGAGAATAGGATCTCGATACTGCAAGAATTCGCTACAAATTCTTCACAATGAATGATGTCATGTCTAAAGCATGTTAACTGCAATTTATATTGTATTCACGTTGATGAGTCGTGTTATTTCATACAGGAAAAAAATCCCGATTTTATTAATGAAAGAAGCATTAGAGTTGAAGATATGCATGAGTGTGATAATCTTAAACGCCTTTATAAGGAATCCTATGATAAAGGTCTTAGGATTTTTATGAAGAGATCAGTTCATACCAGGAGCTCAGAGATGACCTGCTTAGAATTTTAGTCTTCAAACCACATTTTTGAGACGAAATGTCTTAGTTCAGAATTTACAGCATTAGATGCAGTCCTGTGTTAATCTAAAAATTAAACATAATATAATGGGTGAGCATAAACTCAAATCATCACATTATAAAATTATATGATCATAAAATCATGTCGAATGGACAAATTGCATCATTTACCATACTAACCCAGATGATAAAAGCTAATACAATACAAACAAAAGTCAGCTTGGGAGAATCTCATCAAGCACATCAAAAAGAGCAAAAGAGAAGAAAGAAAACAGATCATTGAAAGGAAAAAGAAAAACAGTCAAGAAGTAGAAGCAAAAAGTAGAAAACAACAACATCTCGTTCATATATAAAATCTAATTGCAAAGTGGTTTTCTTATTCAGTCAATTTTGAGTCCAGCACGAGATAGAACTTGAAAGTAATAACACAGTCAGTTCGCAATTACACAGTAGTGAAAAAAAGAAATATCTGGTTCAAACCTGATAAATTGAGAAACTGCTTTTACATACATTATAATTTAATTTTTTTAAAAAATAAAAGAAAAAAGAATAATGAAATTATTTTGTGCATTATTTGTTGTCATATCAACATTGCTGGTAACGGAAGCGCTTGGAGAATCATTTTTGAAGAGAATTTTTGCGAGTAGTGGATATCAAAACGGTGTCAGTTATCAAAATTTCAATTATGAAACAACCACGAAGAAAGTGAAAGTTGAAAAGCAACGTGGACGATCGTTTAAGGAAATTTGTAGGGCAGTGAATCCTGCACCTTACAGTTTCCCAAATAAAATTCCATATCCATCTGTTCCTATTTGTTGAGTGCCTCATCAATGTTGCAGTCAGTGTTTTTTTAATCGAGTGTCATACTTTTGCTCTAGACGAAGAGTTAATGTAACCATACCTTAGGAGTAAATTAACGAATTATATTCCATCGAATCTTTGAAAATTGTGATTGTAGTTTGATAAGCTAAATAGAATTTAAAAGTGAAATTGTGGCATTGTTTTCAAGCCTCAGATTAATCGACATAATATTTATTATAACTGCTGATAAGAACATCCATTTTACTTAATATATTTACATTCCTTTAATTTTAATTTTTGTTTGAACTATTAATTAATTATGATTATGATGAGTTTACTGTCCCGTATTACGTAAAATTTTTGGTCTGTTTTGATTTAAAGAGTTTTAGTTTCGGGTCGTTCAACTATGATGTTCGATATTAAAGGTCATTTTTCAAAAGGGATTTTAAGTTTTGGGACAAATTTTGAACGGTTAGAACAACCGATCAAGTTGTCATTTTATTTTAAAACTATTAAGTTGAATAATCATTAGATTAGCTCGTTATAAGGATAAGCTGATAATGTTAATATAGTTTGTAGAACATTTATCAATAAGTGCTTATTCTATTTTGCATTAATAAATGTTTTAAAAGATTGTCTCAGTTGTGAGCTATCTATAAGGGGTAGTTCACTTATTACGTAACGCGAAAAAAGGACTTTTAAGACCCCCCCCCCCCCCCCTCGTAACAAAATTTGTATTTAATTCAATGCAGATTAAATACTTAATTCGCTTTTAACTGAATAATTCTGTATTGAATCAAAAATCAAAATGTTATAAAAAATCCTTTGATTACAAAAAAGTCAAGTTTATGATCATGTGAAAATTTAAATAATTAAAGTTTTTTTCTCAAGAATTTTCATATTTTTTGTTTTATAGAACTTATCCTAAAATTAAGTTATTATGAGAGGATTTACTTTGAAATATTTTTAACACACAAAATTGATTTTTAATTGGAATAAGGACAAGACAATTTACTTATTTTGATGTCTTAAATGTGGCAGAAATTGATTGAATAGTGGAATGAAATTCACCACTGAAAAAAATGAATTTTCATTTTGTAAATGAACAAAGAAAATTTGATATAGTATTGTGAAATAAAATTCGACCTGTAGTGTTTTTTTTAATTTGATCTAGCCTATAAACTGTCTTGTATTTAAAAAACAAATAAATTATTACAGTTTTCAAAAAATGATTCAATCAATAAAAACTTTCCACCATGAACATTCTTTATCACAAATTAATAAGCTCAACTTTAAAAAATAATCTCATCACAATTTTTAATAAAAATCGATTTAAAATTTTCCATGCAAAATATTTATTTTTCCTGAAAATTATTACCTACCTATTTAATTTTTTTCATGTTGATGTTTAATAAAGAAAAAAGTTTAACTTAAATTTTACATAATATTTACCATGTGTTCGATGTAATTACCTATTTAAAAAATAAACTGTTAATAAATCTTTTTGGATAACTTAATGAAAATTAAGAAAGCCTTTTAAGTTTTATAATCAAAAAAGTGATACAGCGCGATTGAAATGTGTCTTGAAAAAGTCTGAGCTTTTGTAAGTAGTCCTGATGCCAATAATGCCAATAATCTCCAATAATGCCAAAACCAAGCAGCTGAATTTATTGTCTGAATATCGTCCCATTCAGTTTTATTTTAGCTTTCCTCAAAAACTCTTAAAGCGCAATGTTACAAACAGCTTCTTTAACAGTTATTCGCTTTGTCTTAATTTAAGAACGATAGGTAGATTAAAATTAGATGGAGTATTTTTTTTATGCTGTGTTTTAAAAGTGGTTTTAATGAAAATTTAAATGCTATGTAGGAGGACGATCGAAGAAAGTTTCATGAAACTTTAAACTGTTTTTTAAAAAGACAAATTTATAATTCAGGTAAATTCTAAGTGAAATATTTAAATTACTAACATAGAAATGAACGAGTTACTGGCTAGGGTTCATCAGCTAATTAATGATGCCCAACTTTTATGGGGTGATGAGGGAAAATCTGCCGCTGTTTTAGAATTTAAAACAAAAAACCTAAAATTTTATTGACAGAACGAGTTTTTTTTGAATATGATATTATCTAATTGAAATAAAAAATTTAAAGTTTTTAATCCATTTCTCTTTTTTATTTTACGAATTTATTTCTTTTATTTTTCACGTTTTATATTCACACCCATCGTTTCACATTGTGAATGTATTGTAATTGTTTTTTTTTTTTTCCGAAAAACCAGTATTAAACGTTTATCCACCTGAACAAAGTAATATTATGAAAAATCTTCCAGTACGAACTTTATGCTTGAAATTACTTACAAAATGCTAAAAACCGCATCAAAATTGGTAAAACTGTTGCTTGACCGTTGCTGAGATATGTATTTGCAAAACAAAAACCTATGTGTATGTGTGCAAACCTAAGAAATCTAGGAGGATATCTCAACAGCGGGCAATTTAAGACTTCAGGTTTATAGGTTTATAATACATATACTTCTAGTAGTGGCAATTTATTCAGCGGTATTAGAGATATTGTCAAGAAATGATTTTCATACAAAAAAAAATATAATTTTTGCGTGAGTTTTTTTATTATTACTCTTCCTTGCTTTTGTATGTCTATTTTTTTTAGCATTTCGGATGTTATAGAGGAAAAATTATTAGTTTTTTGACCGTTTTTTGTAAATTTTATAACTTTTCTTGGTTATTTATCAGTCGAAACACGTTTTACGTTCTTTTTTTCATAAACATGCATTTAAACGATGTGAATATGCCCCAAAAAGCGTGATCTGCTTCATTACTAGTTCGTTATAATATCGATTTTTTTTTACTTTTTTTATTCGAAATTTTATCATGTGTTTTTGAATTTTTGTGTAATGATTATCTTACATATATTGTTTCTGCCACTCATAAAGAAGGATTCGCATTTTTCATCTACATTGATTATTATAAAGTTTTTTCATTGTGTTTTTAGTTTTAATTAAATAACATATTTTTTAGCATTTCCTTTATTCCATTTGTGAGTTTGATTCAACTTTTGTATTTGAGTGTGAGTTTGTTTCTATGTACTTGGCAGGAAGTATAAAGGTTTCTTAAGAAAGTTGTGTGATGTATGATTGAATATTATCGGATAATGAGAAAAATTCAGGAGTTTAATAAGACATTTACACAAATTCAGATCTGATTCGTTTTACTATTTTTTTTAATTCTAATTTTGTACGAAAAAAATAAAAAAATTTTAATTTCAAAATTTAAATTTTTTAAGCAGAGGCTCCTCCATCTCCAGAACATCATCAATTTTGAGAGCTTCCAACCAACTCCACCCAATGAAATAAATTTTGAAATTAAGGACGTTTGAATGAACAACTTTTATTTCCATTTTTTTTCCTAATAATTCATAGTTTTAGTTTTTTCATGTAGATTTTTGTTTTTACTATATCCTCTAATATTGGTAAAAATCAATGTAAATGTTAAGTCTTCAATGAATTGAGGTTTTATATGATGTTGTTATGATTTAGAAATTCTTTCAGAAAGAATTTTTAAAGTTCTTTATTTTCATACGACTTAAAAATTCAAATTTTATTCTTCTTAAAGTGCAATTGTTCGGAAACCAAACAAGGCAGCTATGTCCTATTTAACCTTCATAACCTTTTTGGGAATAATAAATTTATCATATGTTCAAAATACAATCTCATGTTATCTTATCAATTTATGTTGTACTATACAGAAATGGAAATAAATGAAGTATAATACAGGTAACCAAGAATAGTACGGGTTGCATCGTTGCTAGATTAAGCATTTAAAATAAATTTATTTTAGTGAATTATATCCCTAAACTTAATAAAATAAAAGTTTTAATAAATATATCCTTCATATCAGTTACAATTTTTTTTCCTTAATATTAATCCTCATAATTTTTTATGTTCTTTAAAATTAAACTTTTGTATTTTCTTCTTTATTTCTCTCTCTCTCTCTTTTTCTTCTTCTCATTCAGGGAGGTTTGAGTTGATTGATATTTTTTGACTGATAGAGTGGAAAGACTTTTTTTGTGAGTGATAAAAAATTAATATTAATTTTCAATAAGAAGCCTAAAGCTAGAAATTTTCATATTCGAAACAAATTCTATAATTCTTCAGGAATTAAAGGCATAAAAATAGTCAATTAACTCAGTTTTCTTGAACTTCCTTTATTCAATATGATTCTTTATTAACTGTATAGTGTATTAACTAGTTTTTCATTTTGAGTTGATCACAAATGAAGTTCATTTTAAATGGGGCCTTTAAATTTATACGTCCCTCTCCTTGATAGGCGTAATTTAAGATTAACCATTTTCGATTTTTTTGTGATTTTCTTTTTGGTTTCCTGAATAAATCTTTTTGACTTTCATTTACTTTTTTTCCAAAGTTTTAACTTTTTTAATTGTTAATACGAGCATCTACAAAAATTTTAACTTCATTAAATCATAAATCACATTGTGATGCATTTTAATTATATTAAGGGACACATGAGATATTTAAGATAAATCAAAATAATTTATAGAATGTTTTAATTTTTGCCTAATTTATTTTTATAATTTTATCTATTTTTTTCTGTATAAATTTTCCATAGATTTTGATTTTCGGGAATCGTGGATATTTTTTATTTGGCACTTTTCTTATTTGTAATGAAAACTTTTTGGATTCTCTCCATTCAGTAAAATTTTATTCGGAAATCAATATATATATGATAGGATTTAATATCCTTATATGATATTTTAATGCAAAATGAAGACTATTTTATTTATAAGCACTCTCCTTTTATTGGAAATGAAAATGTCATTTTATTGAGCAAATTGGTGTCTTTTGAAATTCAACTAGAAATTTTAGCAGTTTTATGAACTCGCTTTATGTCCAATAGCAATTTTTTATGGCACTTGAGACTGTTATGTACTGAAAGCTGTGTTGAAGAATGTTTTAGAAATCTCAGTACACTAGACATTAAACAAAGTCAAGGAATTAGCTTTCAGTCATTGTACAGAATTGTACAAAAAATTCGTTGTTGCACAAAGTCAGAGATTCAAGAGTTGTTCGAGGAAGAATGGTACTTATCAACTTTTTAAAAGGGTAGAGACACTTTCATGCTCCTTATATTAAATTTTTGATGACATAATTTCTAATTTTCAGAGATCGAAGCCGATTTTTTCGGCTTAACTCAATTTTTGATTTTTTTGATAGAAAAAAGCCATTTAACACCCATTTTAAGTATTTAAATTGAAGCTTTACTATGATTCTGTGAAATATTTTTTCAGCATGTAGCTATAGTGAGCTCAGAATTTCAAGTTAAAGAATGTTAAGCCGAAATTTAAGCCGATCGGCTTAAAATCGGCTAAATTGAAATTCAGAGCTTACTATAGCTACATGCTGAAAAAATATTTCACAGAATCATAGTAAAGCATGTAAAGTTCAATTTAAATACTTAAAATGGGTGTTAAATGGCTTTTTTCTATCAAAAAAATCAAAAATTGAGTTACGCCGAAAAAATCGGCTTCGATCTCTGCTCTGCTAATTTTTCTACATAAATTGGATTATGCATCTGCCAAAACCTGATTTCCAAATAGAAATTCCACAGAACCTCCAGAACATATTTTCATAGTCCACATAGACAAAAAAAACCAACAATACAGGAAGATGATACGAAAGAATAATACTAGCATATTACTAAGAAAATTTTTCTTACGTTTTTTGTGCGATTGCCATTGATTTCGTTTTCTATTAAACTTGTGTCATGTGTATTTCTGTGTAATCGAAAGAAGCAAAATTTTGCACTAAATAGACATTCTGACCATGTTTACGAATAATTTTTTTAAATCCGTTATTATTTTCATTTATATTTTCATACGTGTAAAAAACAGTCTTTGATTTTTTTTAATAAAAAATATTTCCTAAAGCAGTATAAATATGATTTTATACGATAGATACTGCATAAAATATGACATTAATATTATGCTCATTTAATTTAAATTATATTCAAGAGATAATGAGAAAAATTTACAAAACTAATTCTTTGTGCTATGATTTTTTTAATGTTGCACCAGATTTGGCTTGTTTATGGTAGATTATGGTTTCTGCAGCAGTAAAGAATTCAAAAAAATTTCAGCTTAAGTTTAAATTACGAGATTTTTAATTATTTGATCTAATGAACTGTAATTAATAAAATCATCAGACAAATTAGCAAAGGGTTATTATTTTTTTTTTGATTTTCTAAAGTTCTTTTAAGGATTTAAAGATCTTTCAAACCTTTATCTCGAAAATTTATGTATCGTTGTAAATCTTTTACTAAAATGTAGTCCTATATTTTTGTAGATAAAAGCTTTAGTAAATATAGCAGCTGTGACTTACTGTCACGTTCATGTTTGATGAATTTTCGACGAACTCTATTCATTTATTTTTTTTTGTCACGTATTTTGTGATTTTTTGACTAGATAAATTGAGTCATTTTCGTAAAGCTTTCAACTCAAATTTTTTCTAATTTTTTGATAACAGTTTTTAAGATTATTGAGAAAGTGAAAAAGAAATTGCAAATTCTAACAAATTTCACTTGTAATTGATAAGCATACTTTATATCTTCAAACAATCCCATAGCATCCAAATGAAAGCTTTTATTCCTAAAATTAATTCAACTGAAATTTCCATTTGTCTACCATAAACTTTTGCATAAAATGATTAAATTTTAATATTTTTGAGATTTCTTTAAAAAAAATTTACATGCACATTTAATGCCTCAATTAATGTCAATGTTGGTGATGATAATCGTGATAATGATAAATGATAGAAAGGAGACTTTTACCTTGTGGGCGTTGTAAGAATGACGTATGTGTGTATGTGTGTGTGTGTGTGTAGGAGAGATAAAAAAAGAGAAATAAAATCTTGAGATCCTTGAATTATTCATTTTATGTATAATATGTATAACACATTTAAATGCTTGCAATAATCCTCTAACAGCACTCATCTTATTTAGTCATCATTAAATTATCCATTGTGTCACCAGATGTTACAACGATTGCAGCTAAATCACCATTCTCACCGTCATGTTTCATTTTGACAATTATTGTATTGCCATTGCCGTTACTTAAATGATTGCTTATACTTCCATTGCTGCATATTTTACTAAATAAATCTGGTGTTTTACTATATAAATCTGGTGTTGCTGTCACAATTGAGTCATCGAATTCTGTTTTGAGTGCTGTGTGCTTTAATAACTCAAAACCACTCGGTGGGAATGTGGCGAGAATTTTGTGAATCATTGCTATATCATTCGGCGATTGCCAAATGCCAGGTCTCTTGTTGTGATATAATTTTGCATACATATAAATATTTGCCGTCTTATCATATTCAATTTGATGTGCTAACGATGAGACAACGCAAAGTGTTGCTGCCTCTGCACCACCATATCGATCCATTACAACAATTGGACCATTACGATATCCATTGCTTCGTTCATGCATTTTAACAAGAAAGTCGTATAAACATTGTGGATTACTAAGGTTTGGCCAGTCTGGATTATAGAGCATTCTCACATCCATCTCTGTTCCATCTTGAATTGACTGTATTTTGAATTTTTTTATGACATAATCATATTGTTCATCGTCACCCTCTGTCGATAATTGTAAACGATAATAATCAGTTTCGATTGTCTCATTCTCATTTGGCCAAAACTGTAGAAACGACTGAAATTTTAAGATTATATTTGTAAATATAATTAGATATTATTAATTATTATAATCACTTACAACATCGTCGACTGTCGAGAGGCACACGATCGTCTGAACATGATGATCCATTATCATTTGCCAGAAATCTTTTATTGTATTTGACAGTGGATGTTGGCTAACTATAAAATCACGTAATCGTCTAAAACCAAAAAGCCATGATGCATTGATAAAATCCGTTCCGTCCATACCAGGTTTTGGTGTAAGATGGGCACGACTTCCTTCTAATGGGAATATCATTCGATTTTTAACTTGATTTACTTGCTTTGTTGCCGATGCTATGTGAATTTCTTTTGGTACGAAGCTTGTAATGAGTTTAAATTGTTCATCCATGTATTCATCATCCATTTCACGTGCGGCAATTTGATCAATGGTTAAGTTGGTATTACAACTTGCGATTGCTTCGACAAGTGCGTCGTGAATGAAGATGTACTGTTCTTCTGTTTGCACAAGGAAATTTCTCTGCGTACGAATGTGCCGAAGGAATCCAAATACATTTAAGAGTCGTTTGTGTTCAATTTGTTTTAACATTGCATCGAGAACGATGTATGTTCCAGTTCGACCAACGCCAGCACTAAAAAAAGAAAATTGGAAATGACAAATATATTTCTATTGATTCAAATTTGATGGACATTTTACCTGCAGTGAACAACGATTGGACCTGCATCTTTTGGATTAGCTGTTGATGATTTTCTAACGAAATCGAGCACTGGCAACGGATGGTCTGGTGTACCTGAAAAAATGAAATTGGGAATTTTTAGTTTGTCCATCCTAGGATATATCATGTCTCTTAAACAGAATTGCCTTTCCTGGAAAATCAAGTAACTCACCATGATCCGGCCAGTTTGTGTAATGGTACTGATAAACATATTTCTCAGCTGCAAATTGCTTCTTCTTTTTCAGTTTTGTATGACGAATTGTGAATGTTCTGACTGTGTATGTTGACATGACTTCTTCCTTTACTAGTTTAACTTGAATTACGCCATAAGTTTCAGTTCCTTCCCTTGGCCAATACATGTCACATTTTCTTCTTCCACGCTCTACTAAATTCGTGATCATGACAATGATGGTAACACGCTGCTCCCATATCATTCGCCAGAACCCATCGAATGTTGATGGTAGCGGTCCCTGTGTTCCAATAAATGCCTTCGATTGACGATATCCATCAATAAAATTGGCATTAATGTAATCGTTTTCCTTCTTTTGACCCGGTACCTTACGTAGCTGTACACGCGAATGGTCATCTATGTGCAAATTAATGCGTAGCATTAAAGTATGATAATGAAAATAGAAAGAGAAATGGATAGAATTAACACGGTAACCAAAAAATCTAATAAATACATCCTATATTATGGAAATGTACAAGCAAATGACTCAAGTTCACGCACATATACTTTATATACTCACATGCAATGATATTTAAATATCGATTTTTAGATTTGTTGTCACAATGTTGTGAGTGTTCGCTGCTATGCTCATCAACAATTGACTCATTCTGAATAATTTCATACTCTTTGCTGAATCCAATATCTCCGTCAGCATGCAATGATGCTACATGCTTGGGAAAGTCCTCAACACTCACGGGATAATGAATATCACCATCGATATTTATTGGAACCTCGAGATCAACATTAGGAGACGATTGTGAATTATTTGGATCATCCAAGTAGTAGTAATTAGAATGGAAGCATTTTCTATTGTCGAAAGGACGAAATAACGATTTAAAGGCTGATCTAAACATCTGAGTCATTGAAACTTTGTAACATTGAGATGCTTGAGAAATACAATCTGTTGATATAAACTTTTGTTGTGTTTGTTTGTAGATGTAAATCAAAAAATCACAATCAATAAAAATACAATTTATTCAATAACGCAATGCACCAAATAATTCGATTACTGGAGTCTCTTTTTTTCTCACTCAATGTTTCTTACTAATTACGACAAAGTTGCAGTTCAGTTTCTCTCAGTTTTTACTCTCATGCTTCTCGTTCACAGCATGCAAGTAAATACTGAACTTGAGAAAATTGAAACGAGTTTTATCGCGAATGTTTTTTTTTGTATGTTAGTAGGCAGGCAAAGAATCGATTCACTCTTTAACATTGAGCTTCTTCTTTTAAATCTTTCTCAGTTTCTTGAAAATGATGGAAAATATATCCTAAAGTTATAAATCTTAGACATTGTTCAGAAGATGATTATTTAAAATTTCATCGAATTTATGGTTTTTATTATAAAATTAAATGAATTTTATTTGATTAGTGAAGATTTACATGTACATCGTAAGTGTCGCTCTGGTTAGTTTCATTAAAAACTCTCAACAGATATGCAAAAAAAAATAAGAAGTTGAATAACTGTTTTGTCATATTATTTAAAATGGTCAAACTTTGAGATTCGAACTCAAGTCAATTCAAAATGTTTCATTTCTTTCCTTTCTTTAACTTAAAATAACACCACAAAATATAAAAAAGAAATCAATAATAATGCTCGAAAACTCCTTAAAAAACGTTTTTTAGTTTTCAACTCTTGTCTCAATCTTCTTACTCTTTTTTTACAGGCACTTCTTTCTTTGTTCCTTTGAACCTCGAAACTTGTTAATTTGACGTCACTTTTTTTAAAAAAAATTATATAACTTCTGAATATTTAATAATTCTGTCAGCTGTGAGCTTTTCAAACTAGCAAAACTCATTTGTTAAAACAATCTGCGCTCTGTTCGTTGACAGCACCACCATAGTTTTATAAAAAAACATTAGATTTATAATGAAAAATGTGAGAGTGAGAGTCACATAAAGTTGATCAATTGACTAAAATTAATAAAAATAAAAAAAATGTGAGGAGAAGAAGAAAAAAATTGACGTCGCACAGAACAGTAATAGTTTGTTTAAAAAATATAATTCAAATCTTATGATTGTTTTTTATGACTTTTTAAAAGAAGGAATTGCGTAGTTTTTTTTTGATAATTTTGTAGGTCACACACCCGGCATGTAAGCAACGATTGATATCGCTTATCTTACACTCAACTCATTCATTTTGTACCGAATTTTTTTATGTATTTTTACTTTAGATCCTTTTTTGCAAAACAACCAAAAAAACTGATTTTTAGAAGAAAAAAAGTAACAAAAAATTGATTTTATTTATCGTGTGTCTTCGTACGATTTGAATAGTCAGAATGCTGAGCATAAACTGAATCGCAAAATTGAAAAGAGAAGAGCAAAAGAAAATTTGAACAGAGAATTTTTTTTTTTTGAGAGTGAGCGAGCGAGGCTCACACCTACAAGCTTGAATGTCAAAGGAATGAAAAAACCAAATGCTGTCTCCGACTGAAACTGTGCACATACAATTTTGTCGCGCAATTTGATTCGATTGAGGAATTGAACATAATTTGCAGGTTTAATATTTATATCAACATAAGCTTTTAAGTTTTCTGTTCATTTTTAATTTATTAAACTATCAAGAATATAAATTTGTGAAAAAGATCAATTTTAAACGATTTGTGGTCGTTTGTAAATGAGCCTCTGTGATGCATTCTTTCATTGAGAATAATGCATAATATATCTCACAGACACTTTTGACTCTATTATAAATCTTAAATCCCCTTCTCCCACAAAAAAGTGATTTTTTTTCATCATTTTTACTTATTCCACTCCAAATGAGCAATATCACTTTCTTGATAAGATAAAAAAATTTAATTCGAAGAAGTCAAAATTGCAAGCAAAAGCTGATATAATACAAGACTCAATTTGAAGTGTACAGTTTTTTAGTGCTTATTTCTACTGCAAAACTTTTGTTAAAAAAATTTAAAATATCTTTTTGAGGAGACCAAACTAAAGTTGAACTAGAAAAGCCTTAAATATTTTACTTTACTACCTTGAAGAAACTATTATTAGCTTATCATTTAGGTCTATGATTCACAAATTTTAAAATTCTGTCAAATCAACAACAGTGACGACAAAGCAATGAAAAGCAAAAACTAAAACCAATAACGACTCGATTGGAACTAGCATCTATTTAGTATAAAAACACTCGGCAGCTATTTTATATTATAGATATTTATCGTGTGTTTAGAAATTAATTAAAACTTTCATAGACATAATCTAGATTTAATCAGGAATGAGTTATAAACTTCTAATGAATTTCGTTTTCACCTCCAAATTTCGTGATTGAAAAAAATTACTATTGCTTTTACATCAGCTTTAAAGTTTTCAGACTTCTGTTAAAGATTTTAGGAGTAGGTAATAATTTTGAGCACAGTAATTTTCACGAATTTCGTTCTGATTATTGCAAGAAAAAAACTCACAAGGTCACTTCCAGAGAAGTATTAAATAATCGCATGCAGTTCACTAATGAGGTACGTCAAAAACACGATTTTCAGATTTCCGACCCTTCTCTCTCACAAAACTTCAATGGATTTTTTTTTTCTTTGTTTTAACTGTTACAAAAGTCCAGGCCCGCTTAAATGTTGGATGTCGTAAGTGAAAGGTCCCGTAACATATTTTTTCTTGCATATTGTTTTACATATGAAAGACTTTCAATTACAATTTCCTTTCCTCTTTTAGCCACCCCGGTATTCTAGCACTTTTAATAAATAGTCAAGTCACTGATATGTTAACATGATGATTGCTCAAGTGATACTGAGCTATGTAAGTTTATCAACCTCATAATAACTGTTCAATTACTGAGTTTTTATACTCGTGTTATCAACGATTTTCCTCTATTTTTTCATTCAGAATTATACAGAATTGTATCTCTCGTATTCCTCAATTGTCACACTTCAATAATTCGGAAACCTTAAAAATTGATCATCACTACTTACCGCCATAAGACGAAAACCAATACGACCATCATAAATCCAAAGCAACTCAACACAATGGTTGCAATTATTGTAAAATCATAATTATGTACGAAACCTTTACGTTGTGAAGCTTCAATGTGCTCGCAGTTTGGTTGAAGTGCAATCTAAAATAAATAAAAATTTAAATTTTTGGTAAATAATTAAAACTGATGATTGATATATGTCGTTTCATAGCGAAATTTAATAAAAAGTTTCGCCGAACCTCTTATGTGTAAGCCAGAAAGGTTTGCTCATTTTAGTCTCAAAAGATTATAAAGAGTAAGATTAAGAATTTTTTTGAAACATTGAATTAAAAGACATATTTTAGATCTGATCATTTTATCAATATTTAATTACGAGGTTCAATAATTTTATGAATGTCAAGTTTCATTCTATAATTTGAGGAATCTGATTTTCTCTGACCAAACTTAAAACGATTTAAACATAATAAAATCGACTTGAAAAAATTAAGATTTATAAAACAATGAAAATCACAATTGTTGAAGTGTTTTATGATCTTGACATTTTGGGAATTTTTTCCATGTGGCTCTTTTTTGTGATGTTAAATTGCTCAAGTATAAGTAAAAAGATTTATTAAAAGATCTCTCATTTCATTTCAATCATCAACAATATGACCAAAAAATGGACTTACTTGCTTCGGTGACGTCGCTTCACTAATTTGAAGCTTATTCGGACTGAAAATGCTCAACGAAGCTGCCTGCAATTTTACTTCGTACATTTCATTCATTGTCAAATTTGGTATTTTAAGCTGCCAATCAAAAAGAATCACATTAAAATTTCATCAACGAGAATGTGACATATTTTATTTCACAAACCTCAATTTCAATATGTTCGGCTGATGAATTAATCTGAAATTGCCGATAAAAGTCCCATACGGATGCTTTAAAGCTAATGATGTAAAAATCTATTGTGTTATAATAAACCATTGGTCGTTTCCATTTTACGTAAATTGTTCCATCCTTTTGGCATGCAAGATTTGTGAGAATCGGTGCAGCAGGTGCCGCTACATCAGTACGTTGGAAAATTGGTGTTGATGCATTACCATCGTAACGCGGTGTAATTGCAACAACCACAATTTTATATTCAGTATATGGTCCTATATGAAAAATAAGAACATATTAATTAAGTTCGTAGCCATTATATGTTTTTCATAAATGACGTTTAATATTTGAGGCGTGATGCGTAAAAAAAATCTTGATGAAAGCCATTTACAAAAGGTCTATAAAAATGAAGGAGCCAGCAACGAAAAAGAAGATCAAGTTCAACATATGTCTATACTTACTAAGTCTTTTCAATGTGTAATAATGAATGCCCGATTCACTTTTGGCAACATTTTCGGGATCATTTTTTGGCATAGCGAGCAATGTTTGATTTAAGAATGTGTAATAGATTCGATAAATGAGATTTGGACCATTAGGCTTCTCTGGTTCGAGCCATGAGATTCTGATTGATGATGGTGTAACTTCATGAACAGTCACGTTTCTAGGCTGGGAGGGTACTGAAATGAAAGAAGAAAATAGCAATAATAATAAACATTTTCTGCATAAGCAAAATTGACATTTAAATAAAATTATTTCTGTTGTTAAGTCAATCTTATATCACATTTAAAAATTTAACCCGGCTTGATGTTTTCTATTTGAAGCTGAGCTTAACAGCTTATCAGTTGAGTTATTTTAAGCACTTCTGGATTTTACTGCTTTTATTATTAAACACTTGACAATTTTTCATGATAAGATACGATTCGCCAGAAATTCACGTACTAAAAGCGATTTAAATATACATTCTGGAATTTTAATCCGATGGATTTGTTTTGCATCAATTATAGAGGAGTGCACTCCAAATCCCCTTCGTACGCCCCATCATAAATTCTTTGAAAGCTTTTTGATGTTAATTATAAACAAATTATTTATATATTGGTGCGAAGATTCACATAGAGCGTTAATTAGTTCACAGTGTATGGAAAATTTGTAAATTAATTCATCATACAGATTTAATAATTTGGCTATTTAAGCTGTCATATGGCCCTAAAATTACATTTTCATTGTCAAACTCATAAATTAAAAAAAACTTCAAATTCAAAGAGAGTCTCTGTTTTTAATTTTTTTTTTAATTTTTCTATGCATTAAAAATATATTTTTGCAAAAAAACTAATCCATTGATTATAATTCTGATAATTTAATTTAATTAAAAGTGACTCGGTAAAATTAAAATCAGATTGAATCCTTAAAATCCCAAAATATTTTTGAAATAATCCGAACACTTCTTTCAAATTACACTTGAACTCCCTTATTTAAGTGTATATGCCTTGAAATTTACAAGCTATGTACAAGCATTTAAGCACTTTTGCAAGTCATAAGTAATTATTTCTTAATCAAACAAGAGAAAGACACTAAACTCCTTTTGAAATGAGGAGCCTGCAATCTATAAAAAATATCCCGAAAATCCTGTATATCCCATATTATTCGACATATTCAGAAACTTATATGTAAGTGTGAATAATATAGTATTTTCAGCGATTTAAGCTAATTTTTTTCAACTATATATGAAGTTAAAACTGTACAAAATTACTAAATAATTTTCAACGTTCTTTAATTTACTCAAAAACAGATCATTTGAGAAAATCTTTTAAATGTGCTATTTCTGGAATTGGATAAAATGCGAATTAATATAAAACATGTGTAGATACTATTGCTTAAGAAATAAGTATTTTGCTGCTAGCTTATTTTTCTTTAATATATGATAATTGTAAAATTTTAGATCTGAATTCTTTTCCATTCAAATTTTCCTACTTTAGTTTTGTTCGATGATTATTGCGTGATCGATTGTCATATTTTTTTTTTCAAGTTCGTAGAAAGTTTTTCCCGAATTTGGCAAAAAGTTGATGTTTATTTTTATCATAGATTTTTATTCTATTCCAATCATAATATGGATATTGAACATATAATTGCAAAAATCCTCGTTTTATTAATCGAGTGACTTTAGTGTATTTTTGACGTAGCGATCAGTATTTCTAACAACAAAATGCAATTCAATAAGCAACTAGCTCCAAAAGTTTGCCCTTAATAAAGCTTCTATGTTGTACTTTAAAAAATTAAACATTATTGTCATTTAACATTTTTCTTGAATGTAAAGCAATTTTACATTGAACGGATTTTTCAATGCGATTGAGCGTCACATTTGCAACGTTTAACATGCATACAGTCATAGAACTTCATTTCATCTTCATCGTACACTAGTAATGGATTAATAAGAGTTTTCTCTAGAGTAAAATCCACCTGTTTGTAAATAAAAGGCTTGTCCAACAGTTTAAGTTAACTATAGCAGTTTCATTTCCTAAGTATTATTGAATAATTTCCTTTGAAATTTCTTGCACATTATGCATTTTTTATGGTTGTCAAAATAAAAAAATATTCAAGCTCTTTTTACTGTGGTTTCATTAATATTTAGTTTAAGAAGAAAATGAAATTACTTTTTGCTTTTTGGATTGGATAATAGATTTGGTTCTTTATGAGTTGAAACCTTGTATTTTGCTTGTGTATTTTGTAATAGTGAATTAAATTTTATTCTTTTATAAGTATTTTCATTTTGCCAAGTAAAATTGGATTAAATGACAATATGACCAGTAAGAGTAAGATTTTACATAAAATGCAAATGAACAAAGTTTAATTGATTCCTAACAACTTAAATTGATGACATTTCTCCTTCTTCTTTGCACTTTATTTGCTGTTTATTTTAAATTTTTGTAAACATTTTTCATTCAGTTCTGTTTCACATATTTTATTTTCATAACAGAAAGCGTGAGTTAGTCAACAGCCTCCAAAGAAGAGAGAAAAAATGATTGCGAGTAATTTAATAACAGGTAATGAGCAAACAAGAAAATTAAGTAGACATAGAATGAACCAGGAATGACTCATTTCCATTCATAAAAAATGATGTTAATTAACTCCCGTGACTTAGTTTTTCTTCACGATTGCGTCCTTTAATATAAAATATTAAATGAAAATGATAAAATTTTATGTCTGGCCGGATATCTACAGTTCGGAATGCGCTTCATAAAATCAAAAGCAAGCTAAACGCTTATAAGTTATGTTTTAAGCATTTATGTAAGGGCTCATTTACTTATTACGTTAAGTGAAGAAACGACTTTTTTTAACAAAATCCTAGACCCTACTCCCACCAAAAAGCGAACGTAATAAATGAACAGTCCCTAATTTTTTTTTTTCATTTAAAAGCGTACATACGCATTTTATTGGATTGTAATTAATTATAAAATAATACAAAAATCAAAAATCAAAAATTCATAAGATATTCAAAGAATATAATTCAATAAGATGGGACTTTTGAGAGATTATTACAAAATTTCATTAGAAATTAAAGCATTTCTAATGTTGTTTATATCTCTGCCATTCGAAATGATATTATTTCGGTAAAAATTAAAAAATTATCAGAAAATAAAATAAAATTGTAAAAACTATGAGAGTAATTTTCATCTTCTCATTATTAGTTCTATTGCGGATAGATGTGAGAGATTTTTCTCTACATTTTGTGTACACACAAAACCGTTTTTGCGCAGAAACGTGCGTTATCGTTACTTAAAAAACATGCCGAACATAAAAAATTCTCTCATGTACTATATACATTTGAAGGGTTCTAGGGGCTTTTAAAAGTCTTTATCTAGTCTATGTCGACATTTTTTTAATCCTTAATGAGTGACATTTGCATATTAATGTTACTTGTCCCTTTTTGTATAAGTAAAAATAAAAATAAAAGCAGGACATATGTCTATGCACAAGAAAAAATATATCCAGTTTGAACCAATATTTTTTAATTTCTTCCTTCATTGCCATTTGCAGCATTTCCTACACAATTGTACACAGAGACACTTTTCTTTACTGAAAACTCAGCAAATAGAGAGAAAAAATGAATAGCTTGTTTGGATAGTTTTTCATAAATAATCGAGTAACGAGAGGATTAACACTGCAAATTTTATTTTGTTTGTGTCGCCAAAACACTGAACCTTTGTATACATACCCATATCAATATCCACAACTTCCTTATCATTCTCATCGCTCTTCAACGTTATATTAAGACGAATTTCCTCCGTATGAGTTTTATGAATGGGAATAAGTGGAACTGCATCATCATTTGTTTTACTATTACTCAATATGGCATTATTGCTAATATCAAGCGGTGACTTTGTCGTTTCTAATGTATGCGATGCACATACAGTTAAAGTGATTAATAAGCCAATGAACAATAGTTCCATCTTTGTGTTATTTTTTTTTTATTATGTATATTCTTGCACTAGTTCACTTTTATTGTCTCAAAAAAATAAATAACTTAATAGTTTTCTCAAAAAGTAGTTTTGCTAATTTTTGGAAATAAATGCGAGATGAATCATATTATTGGAACTAATCGTTTGCTAATACATTTTTTTTTTCATTATTTTTTTCACTTATAAAAATGCACAAAATTTGACTGGGATTCTTTTTCTCAAATTTTGAATCATCAAATGGCACGAAATATTGTGTACATTTCCATCAGAGGTCTATGAGAAAATAAAGATGCAAATGCCACACAATTGATCTATAAATCAGTTAAATCAAGTAATTGTGCACTTCTACTCGTTAATTTCGTGTGCAGAATGAATTTTTTTCCTTTGTAAAACAAAAAAAAAATCTATCATTTGGGTTTGAACACTTTCATGTTTTTTTTTTAAAGTATACCACAGCTATGACTCATTTATCGTAATATAAATACTAAACTCAATAAAATTCTAATAGATTAATCACTTATGATTAGATAAAATGTAACTAATGTGAGATTATTATTGATTTTTATTGAGAATTTGGAATTCAAAAATTTTTTTTCCATGAATAAAGAACCACTGCACCACAATGAACTGGATGAAGAAAAAAATACCGAGCAAGTGAGCAACAATCAAGCGATATGGGTTGTGTGATTTTTGATGGAATTTGTTTTGTTGGACTGTTCAATGCTTTTTAATATTTTCAATTTTTTTGAGTATTCGACACTGAATACTTAATTATCTAGTACAATCTTCATATCCTCTATTTAACAATTCAATCTTTTTCTAAACTTTGCTCATTTATTATAATAAATGTTTTTCATGGTGCTCAAATGCCTATCATGTTGCTCATTTTATTATTAAAACTTTTTCTGTCTAACGCCATCTCTTGAGTATTAAGTGAACCTCAAAATCACCCTATAAGTGGGAAATAAGAAAAGTTTTTTATTGGGTTCTGATAAGATTTCTTAATGCACACATGCGGATCATTGAGTGAGAAGGGGTTGATGACTGCTATAGCATGATTCAAATCCTTGAGGAACATTATTATTATTGTTTAACAAAAGAAAGAGAATTTTTTTAACAAGTTAACCTGAATGCGATATGAATATTTTGTTGTCTTTAGGACTGATTTTTGAGGTCTAATCATTTACAACTTTTAATTGCCCTGATGACTGATTAATAATGACTGAAACCCTCAAATTTCTTATGTAGTTCTAAATATTATCTCAAACGTCACTGTGTCATGGGAAAAAGTGTTATCAGGATGAACTTTGATGCCCTTCGGGAGCCGTTTAAAGACCTTTTCTTGTCTAAATTATGCTAATATTTCAACATGATCTAATGAATGTCAAATAATAACTGCCAGAGGATCTCCAAGTCCAACAGAGAATACACTTCTTGATAAAAAAAATGAATTTGGCATTCATGTATGTGTACATATTTTCAATTGAGCTTGTCGCCTAGATTTAATTTAACAAATCAAACATATCGGAATCAAAAGCATAAAATTGCGTACATGATGACGTAACAAAATTTTATATTTTCTGAAGAATTTCTTTTTGTTTTATTTTTTTATTCTATTAGAAATGATGAATAGACACATTTTTGAGAGAATTCTTTAATTTTAAAAGCATCAAATCAAGAACATGTCAAGCAGTTAGATCTGATATTCGAGCCGGACACTACATCTTAGGATAATTTACTGAATTAATTATTAATTATTACTTTAAACTTGATCCTTAATATGTCGAAACAGTTTTTATTTAATTTCTATCCTATAATCATATTTTTTGTAACAAAACAAATTTTAATTAGAATAAACATACGCTAAAATCAAAAGCATACCCATTCATTTATTCTGATACGCTCTACTTGATTATATTAGTTCAATTAGAATGTAAATAAAGAACAAAGAAATGCTTAACACGTGTTAGCTTTGAATTGTTGTGAGCTTCCTAGTAATGGGCTTTAAGAATTATCTAATGGATTTTTGTTTTTGTTGAAATGTTTTATTATCTTTTTTCAGTACAGTTGTTGAAGATTAGAAAAAAAAGTTGATGAGTAATCTAAAAAAAGAAGATATGGTTTATTCAGAAAAGCTTTGGTAGAGTTTAATGTTGAAAGTTTTTCTTTAGTTCCAAGGAATCAAGAAAATGCCATTTCTGTGAGAGTAACGTTTAATTCATACCAAAAAATTTCTAATAGGATGAAAGATTCATTTATGTCTAAAAATCACCACATTAAATCTCACAACTACAAATATTCATATTTCAGTTCAAAACCGTATGAACAACTCAATAATGAATTTGTATCAACATTTGCCATGGTTTATGATGTGCAAATTTTCAAGACGATGAAAATAAGAATGCTATTAATGGTGTTCGTTTCTTCTTCTTACAAGAGCGATGAGACTTCATTATCATTAAAAGTGCTGTACAGAATATTTTTGGTGGAATATCCTTTAAATAAATTTGATGCCTTTATAGATTTTAGTCGTGACTGAATGGAATTTAATGGAGAGTTTCTTAAGTTTTTATTAGAGGGCTTTAATTTTTTGATGTTAATTTTCTTGGAGGATAAAAATAATGACGAGCGTCACTAGAAGTGTTTATTTCTATCATAATGCAAGAAACTACTTGTTACACCCCCTCTCCCTTGTAATAAATTTAGGATGAACATTTTTTTTGCTTTGTTTCATCTGATACAAAAATTTAAAAAAAAAACCTTTTGCCTCCTTAAAAAGCAAACATATTAAGCGTTTACAACTTTTATGAAACATCCGACTTTCTGTTTATTAATATCTCATACATTCAAAAAATAAATCTAGTAGAAAAAGGTCAATTTTAAATGTCCTAAGGTTTAAAAAATAGTTTTTTTTTTAAATAAAGTATCATTTCTAGAGTCACTTTATCACATTTTTAAACAACCTCATTTACTCTTGACAAAAAGTCACTTCATTTGGTTTTAGACGAAATCTTTAGTGCTTAAAACTTTCTTAGAACTTCTTTCATTTTAATTCAGTTTCGACTAAAATGTTTACAGGAAAACTGCATTTACCTAATGATGCTTTAGAATTCTCGGTCCATGCAGGTGCAATAAACTGCAAATAATCATCTATAGCATAATTTTTTGTAAATTTTATTCTACACCAGCCTGACAAACAATTCAAAAACTTCATCAATTATCCTCAAAACTTAAACAAAAAAATCTTTTATATGCTGAATTTCACCTTAAGGTCGAGCACATATTCCATTTAATAAAATTTATCATTCTTTCGTTTCTGGTCATTTATAAATAATTTAGTTCTCCTTTCGGATATAAAATCTTTTTCTGCTTAATTATCCTTTTATACATAGTCAACTTTAATTTCCATCAATTTATCACCTCATGCTTGTAAAACTGATTTAACAACCAGGATGTAACTTTTTCTCATAAGAAAAAGTTTATTTTTGTTTCCATGTTATTCTTTCCATTTCAATCATCTCCTTAAATATATCAATGTGCAACAACATGTTTTGAGTTTTTTCTTCTTTAAAAAAGGAGAAGTAATAATCTATGTGATGTGAATTTTTAAGATTTTATTTTGTTTAAGTTAGTAAAATAAGAATAGCAATTGGAAAAATGAGACTCATAACAGTTTGTCTTATGCTGTGTGCAAGTGAAGTAAAGTTGAAGAAACGGAAATGTAAAACTTTGACCACATTTGAGACAAACAGGGAACAAGTGAGATTACTTTTTGAGAAGTTAGTTGATGAAAATAAGAATTTGGATGTAGTCGTACCGTTGTTTTGATTTTTTTGATGACTTTTGGTTGTTGGAAAGAGGAGAAATAGGATTCATGATTCATAATTTCAAACAACTTTGTTCCAAAATTCATTTAAACCTCAATGAAATCATCTTCAAAGATGCGATATGAGATCGTTTTCACATCACACACAATAAATTAGATGAGAGAAAAAACTTTGATAATTTTAAAAAACTTTACTAAATGGAAATTTAATTTTTCAAAGAGAAACAAAACCAATTTTTTTAACATTAGAAGCAGCAAAAAAAAATTATCTTGAAATAATCAGACGAGAACTGAACATGCAGATACAGGAAAAATAAATAAATAAAAGGCAAAGATTTTTTTAATAAAGAATATTTCAACTTGAACGAATCTTTTCGAATGCAATTAAAACTTTCACTTGTATCATGTAGAATTGAAAATTTTGTGTTTTATCCACAAGAGAAAGTAAATAAATTTTTCTCTTCCTTGGGCTAAAATTTTTTCTCTGCAAATAATTTTCACTGTGCGCTTAATAATTCCTGGAGCTGCATAAAACTTTCATTAGTTTCGTAAGAAAAAGTTTTTTTTTTAACTATTCGCAAAAGAAAATTTAATTTAATCGTTGAAGCTAATGAAAGCTGATTGTAGTTTTAAAAGAAGATGTAAAATTGAATTGAATTGAGGTTGGGTAAACGACAAAATATTGGTTTACATATGTATTTTTCAAATTAACACAAATGAAAGTGAAAAAAGCATTCAGTCATTTTAATAAAATTCATATCTTTATGAAAACGAAAAATTTATTGAAGATTTTGAGCTTTAAGTCTCTTTTTTTTTAATTCTTTTAATTTAGTTGCATTTTACTGCATTTATTGGTATCTTCCATTGGTGTGACGTGATACTTTTTAGGTCCGTTTTGACAAGATTCCATTCGTTGGTAATCGTGTAGCTCTCGTTCTTATTTCTCCCTCTACACTTCAAGTTCGTGACCAGTTCTGTGACAAAAAAATTTGATGCAGGCGCAGGGATTAGAATGTTGTTTGCATTTCTAGTGGCATTCATAGGAGCTGGTTTCTTTAGAAATAAGTTTTTGTTGGGAAGTGGTTCCCATATGAACGGATCCCGATAATTATCAAAAATTCAATTATATTTAAAAATGAATAGCTAATAAACGCTTATCGCTAGATTTTCAACCAATTAATTTACCTTAACATAATCTATTAATATCAAAAATTTTGAATTGAATTTTAAGATGAATTTCGTAAATAACAAAACGAAAAGCCAAAATTAAACAAAATAAAAACTTGTTATCAAAGTATAAATTATGATGAATCAATTATTTTTTTTTTTTTTTTTTTTTTTAAAAATTATATCGATTTTATATCTATTATTATTTATTATTATTTATTTGTCGACGTTACCGTCCGGAAGAAGATGAATTATGTTCATTTAAATGGATATAAACAGTAAAGCATTATGCATTGTGTTGATATGACCATTTAGTTGGGTGACCACATATTTTTTGAAAAAATAGAGGATCTGAAATTCAGGACGAATTAGAACAAAACAAAACTATTTTATTTTTAAAAATAAAAAATGTAGAGAAGCGTCCTCTGCAAAATCAAGCAAATGGTCAGCCTTTGATTAAACCAAATAGATAACAGTCATCACAAATATTATTGAATCTGACTTTACATACATACATGAATGAGGATCATAAATCAAATGTAATCTAATAATGTTTCGAATCTATCAATGTGATAATAAATGACAAGACATGCAATATCTAGTTATTTACTAAATTAGTTATTCACAAAATTGTGTGGCTATTGATTACAGACTTAGAATTATGATTGAATCACGAAATTCAATGTACTAGAATTTGATAATGATTTCGTTCTCAATATAAAGCTTGTTTAATGAATTGCTGCATTTTTTCATAGAGGAAAATTTATGATTAATCTTAAAAAGTCATAAAACTGCTGATTGGCCAGGATGTAAAATATCTTGAAAATCATAAAATAACCGGGAATAGAAAAATCGTTGTTTGAAAGTTTAATGAAAGTTCAAATTTTTATTGGTAATTCCGGTAATTCTAAAATAAGAGTTCAAAAAAACATATTAATGATTTAGAATTGCTATTGCAATTACGATTAGGGGGAAAAAGAAGTTACTTTTACATCTGTATATGAGTATACAGATGCGATAAGCCAAGGCGATATTAGCGTGAATGTCCAAGGTAGGATATTGCGTTCATTTTCAAATTCATGCGAGGATTTTTTATTTGTATCACATTTGTTTGGAATCTTAGAGTCACCAAAAAAACTCAGACGAAGGTACAATCGTTGTTTTCCGGTGCTTGAAGATTTAAATATGCATAAATGCAAAAATTAAATAATTCTGTATATTTATTTTTCTTCAGATACTTCAGAATGTAACCAAGTTCAACAATTACAATATATAAAAGTTTAAGCATAAATAACTAATTGCAATGATGAATTTTAAATACATTTTCGGGATTGAAAATCCTGGTTATAACCATATTATGGAAAAAATTAGAGACTTTTTTATAAAAAAGTTTTTGAGATCTAGTGCTTCAGCGTTAAAGAATTCTTAAAAACTATAAAGGACAAAAATTAAAGCTTTCTTAGTTCCCAAAATGGTTTATAATGTTGGACTCTTACGCCAAAAAAGGAGAGAGTTTACTTTTAAATTTTTCATTTTGTTTTGTTTTGTTGAAAAACTGTACATTTTTTTATTTTTGACTGAACTTTTGTTCTACTTAATGAATTACACTGAAACTTTACTAGATTATTAATCGTAATTGTATCAGCAAATGATGTGAGTTTTAGATTTTTGCCGCTTCTGTTATTAAACTTCCATGCTTTTATCACGAATAACAATTGTTTATTTGAATTTTTTTCTGTATTCAAGAATACTACATTTTGATCTACATTCTTATTTGAATTTTCAAACTTTTTTTGATACATAAAATGAAACGCAAACATTAGTAGTTATCGTAAAACTTGAATGTAGAGTAAAAGGTAGAAAACTTACTATTTACTTTTTTCATTCATTATCGGGATTACCGGGGAATCTCGATAAATTTCAATCCCGAAAATTTACGGTACCAGTATTTCGAGAAAGCATACTAGTAATGCTCTGCTTTTTTACAATATTATTCAGATACTTAAACTAGTCATTAAGTTAACAGCTGAATTATTTTATTATTATATTCACCATATTATTTTGATGACACTTAACTAGCGAATTTTCTCGTCTCATTTTTTTTTATTCAAAATTCCCATTCTAGATTAGCATTGTATGATATCATTCATATATTGCTGAGAGAAAAATGATTAACTCGATAATTCTGTTAGTTTCTTTTCAAAATTAGTACAGTTAGCATAAAAAAAAAATGAATGGGAGAACAGTGACAATTATTATTGCAACGTCTATACCTGTCATTGTGGTTTCTTTTATTTTACTGCAACACTACCTGGAAGAAGATCCTAAATTCGAAAAGTGTGAAGGTGATGGTGTTTGTGTACGTCTTTGCTGTGAAGAAGACTCTTTTTGTGATGATACCTATAATATGACCGCACACAAAATTGCAGATAGTTTGAATGTTTCATACAAAATAATCAAGAACAAACCATGCAAAAAAGTTTTTCCATTGGAATTAAATGGCCATAAGTTCCTTGAAGTAATTTTATTTACATCAATTTTGCATTTTGTTCCTTAAGATTAAATTCCGCGTAACTAAATGTGTAATAATAATTTATCTTCCTTAATTTCTTTGACAGAACGGACACATTCTTGAAGGCAAAAATACTGATGATGAAATAGATAGCATTCTTCACTGGGATGAATACTGCCTTGATATTGATAACCACACCCTTGATATCGCTAATCATACAATTATTGTCAACATTTGTGAAATCGATGATATAACTGAAAAGTTGCATGAAACGTTTGCTTATTGTAAGTATCAACATGTATTTGGAACTGATCAAATCATTAAAAGCTATTGATCAGATCTGCCCTTTGCATATTACAAATCAAACAAGATATCATCTAATTACAAATATTTACAGTCATGTTAGCTTCAATGCCATTCCTTATAATAACACTAGCTGTTTATGGATTTTTGAAAGATTTGAGGAACCTTCACGGAAAATGTTTAATGACTTATGTCTTTTCATTGACTTTGATGTACACAACATTAATTACAATAAAATTTTATGACGGAAATTTATCACAAGAATCAAAATTTGGTTGCTCAACAATTGGATATACATTTTTGACATCAGTGTTGTGTTGCTTCTTTTGGCTGAACATTATGTGCTACGATATTTATAGAACGTTTAGGTATTTATCATGCTTATAGTTAAAGTCAATAACTATTTTTTAATTTTACAGGGAGGGAATGAAAACCGAAGACAATAAACAATTTTTCAAATATTGTGGATATGCTTTTGGGATTCCAATAATTATTTCAATTATTAATTTTACTTTAAATAACTTTGAACTTATCCCTAATGATTACAATAGCGGAATTGGAACGATTACGTGCACAGTACTTGCCGATAATCGAACAGTACAGTGGATTTATATCTATCTCCCAGTTATGCTTCTTTTGGTTATTAACGTATCGTTTTACGGGATCACTGCATGGAAAATTTTTAGTGTCCAAAAGGAAACATCGACAGTTTGTAAATCAGAGAACAGTGGAAGGCATTCAAGATGTCAAGACAACACTACAAGGTATGAAACTTTATTATCATACTTTCAGAAGAAAGTCATTACTTTTTGGTTTCTAACTGATTTAGGTAATAATCATGATAAATTTAACTTTAGGTTTTTCTTGTACATGAGATTATCGATTGTTATGGGAGTGCCATGGATTGTTGAACTTTGCTCATTTATATTAGGTGATTCAGTCATCCTTTTCATCGCATCTATCTTCAACTGCATGCAAGGATTTGTTGTTTTCATAACTTTCGTATGGAATCCAAAAGTAACAAAACAACTCAAGCGAAGGTATGACAACAGCAATTTAACTTAAGAATAGTACGATATATAATTATGAATTTTAAGATACACGGCCATGTCTGTTTCATACAAAAAGAATCGATCATCAACAAAAAAAGAATCAGCAAAACAAGAATCTGTCAAACGTGATTCAGTCGAAACTGTCGTGACAAAAATCAATGGAATTACTTCTGAGTCATCTGCACAAGTGTGATCTGATCATAATAATTCCATGTTTTATGAGTAATGTTGCTTTCAATTTTGATAAACTAGATTTTGAGCATTTATTTTGACCGGTTAAATTTAAGAATGACGTTTTTATTTTTTTATTTTGTACTTAAAAATTCTCATTTCAAAGTCTAATAAAAGCTTATTGGGTCAGCTTCCCATTTTGCAATCCCTAAAAACACCAGATGAACATACCTAAAACGATTTATTTTCAATATTCTCTTGAGGTTCATCTCGATAATTATCATATCATGCGTTCACAAAATATTTTAAACCAAGCTGAATTGTACAAAAAGTGAAAAACTCTTGATTTTTCACCAGAGGATGTAAAAGAGTTGATAAGTAAAGAGTATGAATGCAAACAGTTTGAACGAATTTAACGAGCATTAACTTGGGAATTGAAATAAAGGCTGAGGAGCTTACATATGCAAATTTTAAATTCACAAACCTTTACATAAAAGAAAATTAAATGCATTTTGATGCTAACTCGGAGCAGGAAATATAGAAGTGGAGAGTTATTGATAAAATGGACTATAAGCAGGTTTGAATGATTTTCTAAAAAAAATCGGATATTTATTTTTATTGTTCAAATATTGCAGCTATGAAGTTTTTTATTTCTAACTCACATATAGATTTAAATTGACAAGCAGAAAAAATCAATTCACAACCCACTAATGTTTGCCGACAACATTTTTCCGTTGCCATTGATATTCATTTTTATAATACGAGCTGAAAAATTATTTCACTGTTGAGAGGGGAGCATTTTTTTGTTTGCAGTAAAAAAAGTCTTTAAGCATGAAAAGTTATTTCAATAATTTTTTTCCATCAATTTCCTATTTTCACCTACCGGCTGAGTTAAACCAAATCCACAAAACCTCGAAAAGAAAAATAAAATGGAATAAATAATTTTTATGAGTTTTTGTATTTTTTGGGAGAAATATTCACATTTTGATTTTATAGAGTTAGAAAAATAAGAAAAAAAACTGGTGAGTTTAACTGTTCTCAATCATTTAACAGAATGTTGTAAAAATCCAAAAGTTTTACGTAAAGCTTACATGATGTCAATGAGATACTCTAGCCCAGTGGTGGCCAACATTTATTGTGCCATGGCACAAAAGGTGATAACATGACTGAAACCGTACACAGCATACGTTTTGTTGAGTATCCAAAATATTTCACAGCACTCTAGTGTGCCGCGCCATACGAGTTGCCAATTACTGTTCTAACATAATTTTGATTCAAATGAATGCAGATTGATGAATAATAATAATCGTGATAATCATCATCAAAAATCTTTCGACATAATGATATAGATGATAAATCCTACAAAATAACGAAAATAACTCAATTTTATTCTAAAATTTAAAATAAAATTCTATGTGGTTGATATGTCAATGAAGTTACAAACATTATCCCACATAATTCATTTATGCGGTTTAATTTAAAGCCCAAAAAATTCAACCACTTAATTTCGATTCAGGAAATTCTCTCGAAATTTGTTTTTTATCTCGCTCAATGACCTAATTTTGAATTTGAAGTTTTTATAAATCATGCCGAATTAGTACATAGTAATCTTGTCATAAAGTAAATAGACATTATCATAATGATTATTTTGAAAATACAAACAAAAATTTTGATTTTGGCTGATTTAGGTACCAATTTGCTAATTTGAAAATTATTTTAAGAGAGTTCAGTAAGGTTTATTGCTTTACTAATTTTGTACTAAATTTCCAAATCGCAAATTCGGCTCAAAAAGTACGATTTTAAAAATTTGAAGTATACATAAAGTAGTGGCAAACGCATAATGAACCAAAATGGAAAATTATGGAGCACAGTAAAAAAAACTTTTATGCCAAATTTTAGATAATAAATGATCAGCCCTTTAAAAAAAATTTCAACTGATCAAAAATTAAAGCATTTCCATGTTTGTGGATGCAATTTTTCATCTCGGACGCTTCGATTGGTTGTGGTTTTCTAGTGCTAGTGCGATGAAAAAATTTCATTTATGTTGAGATTCACTTAGTTCTTTATGGATTCCTTCTATATTTTGTTTCCATTAAAAGCCTGATGAACAGTTTATTTTCAATTTGAACACTACTAATTCATTGCCATTGCTTTAGTATTTGTCCTTTTCGCAGTGCACAACTTCTCGGTCAGCTCAGTTTTTTATTCCCAGATTTCTTTTTAAACAACAAAACGGATTTTAAAAGAACTAGTGTATCGGGTAGAAACCCAATGCGGATATATTCACACCGTACCATCAAAAGTCTTATGGATAGACCAAGATTTGCTCAGCATAAGTATGAAGGGTGGGCGAGAAGTACGGCCGAGACCAATATCGACACAGTTCAAAAATTATACCTAATTTATGTCATAATTATGCCAGCAACAAAAACACTTAGTTTGAATTTTGTCACCCTCGGGAACATTATGAACCAGTAAAGCTGATTTTGGTCCAAATCTCGGCCATACTTCACACTTATTTAAACCACATTTTCTCGTAAATGTTAAAATATTATTAAAAAAGAATTAATATTGAATTATGTCGCTATTTTGTCAAGTGTTTTAAGATAAAGAAATTTTTTTTTAGTTTCCACAGTGAAGAGTATGAACAAAATTCAGATGGGGGAATCGAAATTTTAGATTTTGATTTTTTTAAGCTATGCATTACAAAAAGCAATATTGGTATGTGATTTATGTCAAAATTATGTCAATCCAAATAAAACATCCAAAAAATTTTTTGACAAAAGTACACCATAGAAAATCAATTTTCAATTTTGGACTAGGGGCGACCCTAGTCAAAATCAATTTTGTCACTTTTTTCTTCGAGGGTTTATAAAAATGGATTGAAACTTTGCATAATTATTCTACTGCTTAAAACAAATACAAATAAAACATCCTCAAATTTTTTGAGCAAAGAACCAAGTAGGAAATACATTTTCAATTTTGGACTAGGGGCGACCCTAGTCAAAATCAATTTTGTCACTTTTTTCTTCGAGGGTTTATAAAAATGGATTGAAACTTTGCATAAATATTCTAGTGCTTAAAACAAATACAAATAAAACATCCTAAAATTTTTTTGAGCAAAGAACCAAGTAGAAAATACATTTTCAATTTGGACTAGGGGCGACCCTAGATGGTTTATCCAAATGGATTGAAACTTTGCATAAATATTCTACTGCTTAAAACAAATACAAATAAAACATTCTAAAATTTTTTTGAGCATAGAACCAAGGAGGAAATACATTTTCAATTTTGGACTAGGGGCGACCCTAGTCAAAATCAATTTTGTCACTTTTTTCTTCGAGGGTTTATAAAAATGGATTGAAACTTTGCATAAATATTTTAGTGCTTAAAACAATTACAAATAAAACATCCTAAAATTTTTTGAGCAAAGAACCAAGTAGGAAATACATTTTCAATTTTGGACTAGGGGCGACCCTAGTCTAAATCAATTTTGTCACTTTTTTCTTCGAGGGTTTATAAAAATGGATTGAAACTTTGCATAAATATTAAAGTGCTTAAAACAAATACAAATAAAACATTCTAAAATTTTTTTGAGCATAGAACCAAGTAGGAAATACATTTTCAATTTTGGACTAGGGGCGACCCCAAAATCAATTTTGTCACTTTTTTCTTCGAGGGTTTATAAAAATGGATTGAAACTTTGCATAATTATTCTAGTGCTTAAAACAAATACAAATAAAACATCCTCAAATTTTTTGAGCAAAGAACCAAGTAGGAAATACATTTTCAATTTTGGACTAGGGGCGACCCTAGTCAAAATCAATTTTGTCACTTTTTTCTTCGAGGGTTTATAAAAATGGATTGAAACTTTGCATAAATATTCTAGTGCTTAAAACAAATACAAATAAAATATCCTAAAATTTTTTTGAGCAAAGAACCAAGTAGAAAATACATTTTCAATTTGGACTAGGGGCGACCCTAGATGGTTTATCCAAATGGATTGAAACTTTGCATAAATATTTAAGTGCTTAAAACAAATACAAATAAAACATTCTAAAATTTTTTTGAGCATAGAACCAAGTAGGAAATACATTTTCAATTTTGGACTAGGGGCGACCCTAGTCAAAATCAATTTTGTCACTTTTGTCTTCGAGGGTTTATCCAAATAGATTGAAACTTTGCATAAATATTCAAGTGCTTAAAACAAATACAAATAAAACATCCTAAAATTTTTTGAGCAAAGAACCAAGTAGGAAATACATTTTCAATTTTGGACTAGGGGCGACCCAAGTCAAAATCAATTTTGTCACTTTTTTCTTTGAGGGTTTATAAAAGTGGATTGAAACTTTGCATAAATATTCTAGTGCTTAAAACAAATACAAATAAAACATCCTAAAATTTTTTTGAGCAAAGAACCAAGTAGGAAATACATTTTCAATTTTGGACCAGGGGCGACCCTAGTCAAAATCAATTCTCTCACTTTTTTCTTCAAGGGTTTATAAAAATGGATTGAAACTTTGCATAAATATTCTAGTGCTTAAAACAAATACAAATAAAACATCCTAAATTTTTTTTGAGCAAAGAACCAAGTAGAAAATACATTTTCAATTTTGGACTAGGGGCGACCCTAGATGGTTTATCCAAATGGATTGAAACTTTGCATAAATATTTAAGTGCTTAAAACAATTACAAATAAAACATTCTAAAATTTTTTTGAGCATAGAACCAAGTAGGAAATACATTTTCAATTTTGGACTAGGGGCGACCCTAGTCAAAATCAATTTTGTCACTTTTGTCTTCGAGGGTTTATCCAAATAGATTGAAACTTTGCAAAAATATTCTAGTGCTTAAAACAAACACAAATAAAACATCTTAAAATTTTTTGAGCAAAGAACCAAGTAGGAAATACATTTTCAATTTTGGACTAGGGGCGACCCTAGTCAAAATCAATTTTGTCACTTTTTTCTTTGAGGGTTTATAAAAGTGAATTAAAACTTTGCATAAATATTCTAGTGCTTAAAACAAATACAAATAAAACATCCAAAAATTTTTTTGAGCAAAGAACCAAGTAGGAAATACGTTTTCAATTTTGGACCAGGGGCG